CGTGCCCTTCACCGCACACACACACAGAAACTGTCCTTTACATCTGGCCCTTAGCTGCTTCAACTCCTTCAGGTAATGAAAGATTTAATTTTTCATTGTGAAACACTTCAACATAGTCTTTTTCCAAATATTTGTCACATCCATGACTTCCCTTTGGCCAACACATCCACTCCATCAGATGGGCCTAAATGCTGAGGACCAAGCAGTGGAGCCCAGGGGCTTGTCCCAGCCAATAAGCTTACCAAGGAGTCTGAATCCGAGAACTGTGCTTTCCTGAGTTCTCTCAAGCCAGCCAAGGCCAACAAATCCAAAATTTGAAAAAATAAAAAAAAAAAACAAAAAACCAAAAAACTAGCAATGGAGCCAGAAATACAGAAATAAACATATCCCTCCTCATAACACAGATCAGATCCTGACAACTAACATACATGTAACAACTGAGTACTGACACCGCAGCACCGGACTGATATATATATATATATATAATTACCTAAAAGCCAGAGTTACAAAGAAAAAGGGAGAGACAGAAGACAGACAGACTTGCTGTCCAAAGATCCAGGCCCTGGATGGCCACAGCAGCTGCTACTAGGCCAGGCCTAAGCCATGTGCCAGGATTTCTTCTAGTCCACCCACATGGGTGCAGGGGTCCAAGTACTTGACTTATCTTCTTTTGCTTCTCCCAGGCCTTCAGCAGGGAACTGAATTGTAAGTGGAACAGCAAGGATTTGAACTGGTGCCCATATGGGATATCAGCAACACTTTTACCTGCTATGCCACAGCAATGGCCCCCAAACTTCAATTTTGATAAAAGACTGTTTCTACTAGTTTACAAAGACTTGGAAAATTTTGCTGTTATAATTTACTAAAAGTCTCAGACTACCTCAATGTTTCAAAGTCTAACAGGAGCTAACATTCTTTAATTTTTAATTTTTTATTTGAAAGGCAGTTAGAGAAGGGGAAACAAAGGGAGAGATTTTACATCCACTGATTCACTCCCCAAATGACCACGATAGCCCAGGATGTGCCAGGCTGAAGTCAGGAGTTCTCCCAGGTCTCCCATATGGATGACAGGGGCATTCGTTTTCAACTGTTGCCCAGCAGGGAGCTAGATAGGGAGCAGAACAGCCAGGACTCAAAACGGCACCCATGAGGCTTATCAGTGCTGCAGGCAGCAGCTCACCCACTGTGCCACAGTGCCAGCTCCAGGAGCTAACCTCAAAGACAATGCCTTGGACTGTGACAGCGACGTGTCATGTCCCGTGTATACCCATTACATATCTCCTCAGCTGTCTCCCAGTCAGTCAGGACTTTTCGATGAGTGTTTTTCAAGCATTTTTGGGAGTAAGCTATAGAAGCTGTATGTTTTACTTCGTCAAGCACAGACAGGTATCCAGTCCTGAAGCAAAAGTCTTGCAAAGTAATAATCATCTTCCTCTGAACGACTTCCTGGACAAAGTCTCTACATGTGTTTACTTTTCCATTTCATTTTTGAAAATACCAAATACAGGTCAAACTAAAATGATACTACAACCCTCAACCTCAACACATTGTCTTCGATCAACAATACACAGAGCTGGTCTTCATGGACCAGCTATGGTAGTTTGGAGTCACACACATGGTGCACAGGCATCACAGATGAGGAGGGCCTTCAAGAACCGTGGGTCCAACCACCAAGATGCCTGACAGCAGACACCTGAGAGCTCTGGCTCCTTCTAGGACTACAGCCGCCTCTGAATGGAAGCCTAGCACAGAGGCAGCCACAGACAGACCTGCTAACACAAATCCAACACCTCAACGTACACTCCGTTTTTTTCCTAGCCCTTTACTCCTAAATCTACTCACAACTTTTTCAGGAGGAAGGTGAAGCTAGAAGTGAACCAGAGGGGCTTAGCAGGTTATAAACAGTCTTCAGGACGCCAGGCCCTAACAGAGTAAGGGACAGAAGCTGGGAGGGCTCCCTGGGGAGCCCTGCACTTAGAACAGTGGATAAGAGTGCACCTGTCCTACTTTGGAGTATCACGGTTTGATTCCAGGTTTGTTCGTTTGGTTTTTTTTTTGTTTTGTTTTAACTTTTATTGCAAAGTCGGATATACAGAGAGAAGAGGAGAGATAGAGAGGAAGATCTTCCGTCTCATGATTCACTCCCCAAGTGACCGCAACAGCTGGTGTTGTGCCAATCTGAAGCTAGGAGCCTGGAACTTCCTCCGGGTCTCTCATGTGGGTGCAGGGTCCCAAGGTTTTGGGCTGTGCTTGACTGCTTTCCCAGGCCACAAGCAGGGAACTGGATGGGAAGTGGGGCCGCCGGGATTAGAACCGGTGAACATATGGGATCATGGTGGGTTCAAGGCGAGGACTTTAGCCACTAGGCCACGACGCCGGGCCCTGTTCATTTGTTTTTAAGATTTATTTATTTTTATTTATTGGAAAGGCAGAGAACGAGAGACAGAAAGATCTTGCATCAGCTGGCTGACTCCACAAATGACCACAACCACCAGAGCTGAATCGATCCAAAACCAGGAACTCCCTCTGGGCCTCCCACACAGGAGCAGGGTCCCAAGGCTTTGGGTCGTCCTCAACTACTTTCCCAGGCCACAGGCAGGGAGCTAAATGGGAAGTGGAGCAGCTGGGACACAAACTGGCGCCTATATGGGATCTCAATGTTTGCAAGGGGAGGAGCAGCCAAGTGAGCCATCCCACCAAGCCCTGATACAGTGTTCTGACTCCTGACCCCAGCTTCCTGCTAATACAGGTCTAGGGAAGCAACAGGGATGACTCAGCGGTTGAGCTTCTGCCACCCACCCGGGACACCTGGGTTGTGTTCCCAGGCTTAGCCATTGTCAGCATTAAGGAGTGAACTGACAGATGGGAGCATGTTCTCTCTCTGACCCTTAAACACACAAACACACACAAACTTTAAAAGGCAAGGAGGGAAGCAAGTAAGCCTTCAGTGATCAACTGGAACCAGAAAGGTGGAGAAGAGATGAGTGGGTATGGTGAGGGACTCAGAAGAGGAAAGGAGGCAGGCAGCACATTTGAGGAAATGCAAGCAAAGGGTTAGCTGAGAGGTTCAAGAGCCCTGCTCTGCGAGGAGGGCAATACAGAATCTAGGTTTTATACTGTAAGTAATGCGCTGTTGGGGAGTCCTTCTGGATGCGCTGAGTGGTGTATTAGTATCACTCATCTGCACAAGGCTTAGGCGCCAAGGCCTGGCTCCAGAAACTCCCAGCGTTCCCACTACAGGCTCTCAAGCCTTGTCTCAGCAGAAAGACGTGTGTGTACACAAGCCCTTCCCAATCTCCAAATTCCACTAACAGCAGCCTAGGTTAGCTGTGAATGGCATAGCTGGGATGTACACAAGTTCAGACAGTGCCGGTGTCTGCTGTCTTCTTCCTTCCAGCCCTTCCTCCTTGATGGGGAAAGGTGAGCCTCATCTGGAGGTACAGGGACATGATTACTTCCTTTGGGAGAGTCACAGGCTTTGTTCAGAAACATCCTCAGGCTTGCTGCGGGTCTAATAAATTCTCATCAACCATTCTGCTAACACTAAATTTTGCCCAAACAATGACAGCCCTTTTAATAATAAGGTTGCCTGAAGTCAACATGCAAGAAGGGGCCCCAAGAAGGTGTTAACTGGCGAGTCATTCCGGCTCTGCTGGCTACACTGACAATGCCCTCTGAACCTCTGTGACAACTCAGGTCTGTTTCAGGTGAACATAAACACCCCATGTGAGTCACCTGCCATTACAGCTGCCACCTAGAAACATATTAAGAAATGAGGCCTACGAAGCCAAATCTCCCTGTGAGATCCCACACTGGTCAGCCTCTCCCTTCTACCCTGAGAATCCACCGAAGACATCCCCAGCATCTGTATTATCCATCCAGACGGAGAGATTCAGTCTCCTAAGGTATTCATCACAAACCTGATTCCTCTTATCCACGTTACCAGTACCACATGCTCTAGTCGGGTCTACCCTCTCCTTCCAACCATCTCCAAGAACACCAGTCCACCTTGGGAGAAAATGTTTGTCCGTCTCAGGTCTCCAGCACCTCCGAGTAAATCGTGCCGTGCTGGTGAGCCCCATCGTTGGCCAGTGATGCAGGTTCAGCCCTGGGCTTTGAGGCTATACGTGTCTACTACCGAAACTTGGTAAGTGACGGTGACACACAGCTTCACATGCCACGTAAAAATTGCGAGCCCGGGGTCCAGCCTGAAGCCTGAATCATCCTTAAGATGAAAGTCTCGTGGAGGAAACAAGCTTGGTGCTTGCTACTGCTTCCTAAATGGGCAGTGACTCAAGAGGCAGCCGGGAGGGGGAAGGAGGTGCTGGCTGGGCAAGTGCTCAACAAGAGTGAGGCCAGGCGGCCAAGTCCCTCCCCTAGGCCACACACTCCACAGCCTTTTTGTGACTTCTTGTCCTCTCAACAAACACTCTTACAGAGCAGTGCGCCTTCTCTGGGCCGGGGTACCTCATCCTGCATGACCCCGGCCATGGCCACCGCATCAGGCAGTACACACTCATTCCAGTTTTTCCACCCTAAAATGGGGAGGTCCTTTTAAAAGCTTGATTTCCAATCCTCCACCCACCTCCCCCACCCCGTCCCGGTTACCGTGAGCCAGTTGAGCTGGGGCCCTACCGCCACCCTGTGTCGCTCAGTTCTCACTGCCAAACCCGGCCACCTGCTCCACTCCCACCTTCGGCCCGTGACAGCGGCTCTCTGGGGGTCGCTCCTCCGCACACCTGCAGCTCCCGCTCTGGGGGCACCCATCCACCCACCTCGACCCCGCGGACCAAAGCCTCCCCCTCCGGCTTGCCCCGCCGCCGAGCCCGCCCGACCAGGACGCTGAGGCCCGGCCCCGAGCGTCCGCCGTCTCCCCCCTCTCCGCGGCGGCCGGGCCGGGGTCGGGTCGCGTCCCGCCGGGCCGCAGGCCCCCTCCCCTCCGCCGCGGCCAACCCCCCGACGCACGTGCCGGGTGACAGGCCCCCCTATAGGTTCCATACCTGCCACCGGAAGTGAGTGAGGAGGGCAGTATAGGCATTTCCTGTGACGCGAGCGCCTGGACTCCATTAGGCAGCAGCTGGGGGAAGAATCAACACACCAGGGAGCAGAGCGGAGCGGACCCGAGGACAGAGGCGGCAGCTGCCTCCGCTGCCGCCCGCCGCCGCCCGCCGCCGCCGCCCGCGCCTGGGCGCAGCCCCAGCGGCGGGCCCCGCACCCCCGCAGCCGCCCCGCGGCGCCCCCCGGCGCGACCCCCCGGGCCGCGCACCCCGAGCTGCCTCCGGGAGGGGGGGGGGAAAGGGCCCGGATCCTCCTTCTCCCCCTCCTCCTCCTCCTCCTGCTGCTCAGCCCGCTCGCCCCCAGCCGCCTCCCTGACCCCCGCCCCGGCGCCCCTCGCCCCGACCCCCGCCCCGGCCCTCGCCTCCCCTCCCCCGCCTCGCCCCACCGGCTTCCCACCACGGCCTCTCTCGGCGAGGAAACTCTGGCCTCCGCTTCCTCCTCCTCCGACTCGGACACCGGCGGAGCCTCCCCGCCCCCGCGGAAGAAACCCCGAGCCTCGGCGGCGGAGGGAGCAGGAGAGCCCGGGGCTTCGGCCGGCAGAGCAGGCCTCTCCCCTCCGTCCTCGTCGTCCTCGTCCTCGTCGTCTTCCTCGTCCTCCTCCTCCTCCTCGGTGGTGGTAGTGGTGGGACTCCCCCCGGCTGCTGCCCCTGCCGCCGCCGTCCCCCACCGAAGTAGCGGCCACAGCCTGGTCAGCGGCAGCATCATGCAGGCCAACGGGGCAGGAGGAGGAGGAGGAGGCGGCGGTGGCGGCGGCGGCGGCGGCGGAGGGGGCGGCGGGGGCCAGGGACAGACCCAGGAACTCGCCTGCCTGTCGGCCCAGAACGGGGAGTCGTCCCCCTCGTCGTCGTCTTCCGCGGGGGACCTGGCCCACGCCAATGGGCTCCTGCCTTCCGCCCCCTCCGCCGCCAGCAACAATAGCAACAGCCTGAGTGTCAATAACGGGGTTCCCGGCGGGGCGGCCGCCGCAGCCTCCGCCACCGTCGCCGCCGCCGCCGCCACCACGGCCGCCTCGTCTGCCTTGGCCACCCCGGACCTGGGCAGCAGCCTCAAGAAGAAGAAGCGGCTCTCGCAATCAGATGAGGATGTCATTAGGCTAATAGGACAGCACTTGAATGGCTTAGGGCTCAAGTAAGTATCCGTCGTGGGCAGCTGGTGAAGGACGGACGGAGGGACGCGGCCGCCGCGGAGCGGGGTGGGGGGTGGGGAAGGCCGCCGGGAGGAGCGAGTCCTCTCCGGGACCGAGAGCGAGAATGACGGGCGAGCACGCAGGGCCCGGAGGCCGCGGCTCGGTGGGACTGCAAAAGAATGACACCCCCCACCGCCGCCGCCGCCCGGCCCTTTCTCCCGGCCCCGCACACCTTGGGAGCTTAATTGTCTGTCAATAAAGACAGATGCGGGAGGCTGTCTGTGTCGGCGGTGGGGGAGGGGTGGATTAGAGCCGGTGGAAATAATGAACCTTGGAGGATTTGTTTTTTCAAGTGTATCTCAGAGGCATCTTTGTGGGACACCTCCCCACCCCCAACCATGACAGACAACAGCCCAGGCAAACTACCAATCAGGAAAGACAATCACCTACAAGTGTTTAGAGGAGCCGAGGGGCTGGGATCATGTGGAAGGAGGTTGTGGAATAAATCTGGTGGGAATAAGGCAGGCAGCGGCCTTGGTGATGCCCCCGAAAGGCCCATATGTGTACCGGGAGGCGCAGCACCAACTAGTCCGAAATCCCAGTTGGAGGCCAGGAATGATTGCCTCTCCACACGGGACATCTGATCCCGTGAATCGTTTGTTTTCTGATCTGGCTCAGATGGCCTTGGTACCTCACCTTTATAGGGTGAAGGTAGACCCGCGACCTTGGCCCTAAACCACCGTTTTTTGTATAAACACAAAGAAAAATTGGGCCGGGGTGGGGGGTTGGAAGGTAGAACGAGATGGGTGGGAGTGCCCCGGAGTCCATGGGGGAGGTGCCCGAGCCAGGAGAGGAAGAGGCTTCAAGGCGCAGATTAATATGAGCGCCTGGCCTGGCCAACAGGCGATTTTGGATTTGTGGATTTGGTGGGAAGTGGGGAGAGGGACGGCACCCTCAGCACGTGACATATTTTGATTTTCTGGCAGATCTTTAGCACTGTTCAGTTGAAAGAGCTGGGTGATTCTGTAGAGACAACTATGTAGGAGAAGGTTCTTAGAAGCCTTAATAACTGATAGAGGAAGCCGTATTTGATCAATTTTTACCGCTCCCAGTGAACTGTATCCTAGGAGGATTTTATTTTGTTCCGTAAGGAAAAGGATTAGGATGAAAACAGATTCAGTAAATGCTAACAGAACGTCTAACTTAAGAGAAGCAGCAAGCTGACAGCAGCAGGAGGAAATAACTCGTGACTGTTTGGAACCTACACCATAGTAAATTTGCTATTTTTAGTATAGGGAGAAAGGAAATGATTTTTTGTTGCTGGCTTTATTTTAATCTAAGGGATTGACCTATTAGAATTTGTACCTGCATGTAATACTCTGATGTGAAGCGCTGCCTGGCACAGGTCATCTTTGTCAGCCGTGTAGAGCGCCCTTTTTTTCTTTCTAGCTTTTAACTGTAGTACCATGGGTGGCCTATAGATCCTGGCTAAATCTGCTCAAGTGTTTAAAACACTTTTTTAGGAGTTTCATACCCCTTGAACTCACTCCTGAGGTGTTAAAAAAATAAAAGTAGGAATTAGCCTGTCTTGATTCTGGTTTCCAGGAAGGTTTTTGACATGACTTTGAAATAAAAGTACATGGCCGTTGTGCATGAGCCTTATTGAAGCAAGTCCGTTAGAGCCCACTTTTCCTTCATATGAGCTTTGGGACTGTTTTTGTGGAAGGCTTGAGTTTATTTGGAAGAGTAACACCCTCAAGTTGGTCAGGTCTTTTTTACACTGTATCTCTCCTGCAGCCAGACTGTTGATCTCCTCATGCAAGAGTCAGGATGTCGTTTAGAACATCCTTCTGCTACCAAATTCCGAAATCATGTCATGGAAGGAGACTGGGATAAGGTAAAGTAGGGCGCATAGAACTGTGTGACTGCTGCTAAAATTACATATTTGATGTGCATTTTGTGACATTCCTGTTTTTCTTTTATACCAATTTTTGCAGGCAGAAAATGACCTGAATGAACTAAAGCCTTTAGTGCATTCTCCTCATGCTATTGTGGTAAGAGGCGCACTTGAAATCTCTCAAACGTTGTTGGGAATAATTGTGGTAAATACACTTTCGTTCTTAGTTTCACATTTATGCTTATTTTAGTAGGTTATTGATAACTTCTAGACTTCTGCCTATTATAATGAAAGATAAGGCCTAAAAAAAGTTGCATTGCGTATAATTAAGTTTGTAACTTAGGAAGAGTGTTTATGATGTTTTAAAAGATGAATTTAAATTTTTAAAGATCTCTGTTGAAATGTGTCATTTGAACGTAGTTTATAAGTTAAGCTTTTTACAGAGGTTATGTTGAAAGATGTTGATGCTTTCAGTGCTGGTATGATTTTTATATTTATGGTTACAGATAAATTATATCTTTATACTTACTGAGTGTGCTGGTTAAACATAAAATGTGTTTGGAAATGCATATATCCACATAGCCTTAAGCTGATATATACATGAACTGTAATTCCCAAAGATTTTTTTAAGAACAAAATTCAAGCCAACTCTGTTGGTGTGTTCACCATTTCCTTCCTATTCTTGAGTTCCAGTTTTGAGAACTAACTGTGTCAAAATCTGTATCATCTGTATTACCCTGGCAGAGGTTTGTATGGGCTTGCTCACTGGCCTGCTTTCCCTGACAGAAACAGCTTGCTGATTTCCCGGCTATGAATCCTTTACACTGATGGGCTCTGGTTCCTCTGGAGACCTTGTGGAGGGAGAGGCAGGGATCAGTTTTGTGTTGTGCTGTTGATTAGGAGCCATGAAGAGCTGGTGGCTGCAGGCTTCTAACTTCTAGCTGATTCATTTGTTGTCAGAAGCAGTTTCCTGTCTGTTGGGGGAGGGAATAGGAAGTGAAGTAGGGAAACCAACTTTTTTGTTAAATATTAACAAATGACTGCTAGATTTCGATTTTTGATTGGATCAAGCAATCTTTTCTGCCCCTCTCTATAATCTAGATTTCTTCTTTTAAATCTTACTACAAAATTTTTTCAAGATTGTAGGTCTTCAATTATATGATCATAGGAAATGGGCTTAAGGATGAATTAAAGGTACAAATGAGTGGACAAATATAAATTTATCTAAATTGACAATATAGAATGCTTTTTCAGTAAATACTTAAAATTACTACAGAGTCAGCTGACTGATAGCAGATCAACTTATGAAATAGTTAATTCCAGAGTAAAATTTTAAAATAAAATAGTTAAGCATATATATCCAAAGGGATTATTATTTTTTCTAGCAACAGAAATTTCACCACTTAGGAATTTAAAAAAAGAAAAACAACTTTAATTAGACAACTTTTCGTAAATTTTAGCTCTGACTGAATAAGCTAAAATAAAGACAATTAAATGGCCAAAATAAGAATTGGGTTTCCTTCCCACTGTGCAAGTTGGTGCTGCTTCCGTGGGCACAGTGAAGCGTGTGCCTGTCGATGGTCTGAATCTAGTGGGTGTGATTTCTTCAGGGTTGCTTGTCATAAATTTGGTCCAAATGACTCTAGTAGTGAGGAGTTTGATAGGCTCACTTAACTGGGCTCTTTTTTTTTTTTTTTTTGGTAGTTTTAGACTTCTGAATTAGATTGAGATTATAAATATCTTGTTGGAAACCTTCATGATTTAGAAAGAACACATAAATTGAAGAAAGTTGTAGATGGTAAGGAGAAATCTTTTCTTTTTACATTCTGCTCAGTTTGTAGAACATTCTAGCATCTAATAAAAGACGAAGATTAAATCTCTGGCTGAGCCTCACACCCTGAAATTGTTTAGGTATTTATACAATGAAAAGCCTTCCAGATTTTATCTGAAAACACTCATGAATCAATTGCTGTTATAAGATTCAGCTCAGCACTGTTTGAAGGTGCTCTTAGCCTTTCCCATTGTGTTTAGTCTACTCCTCTCCCCACTGCATCTCCAGCAGAAGATAATCTGTGAGCTCATATCTTTAACAATACCACAGAAGACAAGTACTTGGAGTTTTTAAAGCATGACTATTGTAATTGTATGCCCAAACACATTTCATGACTTAGTCTAGACTAAAATTATTTTATTTTTAAAATCTGAATGTTATATTGATCCAATCTGTTCTTGCTATCCCTCTGCTTAAAATGGTTTCCAGTCACATGACAGAATCATAGAAGTTGCTCTAGATTTTCTGGAAGCTGAGCACATGAACTAAAATTTTTTTTAGTTTGGGTTCAAAAAGGCTTAGCTATGTTCTGCAGTTTGTATGGATATCACATTAATAACAAAACTTTTCTAAATCTTAAAAATACCTGTTTTTTTTTGTAATTTTTTTAAACATAGTTGAAACATACTTAGCAAACAAGTTCAGATACTGCCTTGATATATAAACATTATGTTTTGAAGTCAAGTAGGCAATAGTGTTGAACCATGGTTTAAGTATGATTTCCCCTTTCCTCTGAGTCATTATTTAATTGTTGCAACTTGGTTTTAACTTTATTCGAGTTAGAACCATGGCTAAGTTAACTAGGAGGCTGTCCTCAATAACCAAATATTCTGTGTATCCCACCTTGTGAAGTTTTTTCCAATATAGAGTTCATTCTAAAAAAAGGGAGGAGGAAAGGGCCAGGGAATCCAAATGTTGTATAAGGAGCACAGCAAAATTTAGTGTGGAGCCATTGCTCAGACTACCCTAGGGACTTAGCAATTTTAAGATATATTAGATATTAAAAAGGGGATACAGGAACCAGAGATGTTGAAAAATCGTTAGAGATTAGAAATAGCCTGTTGGAGGTCTAATTGGGAATTGAGGAAAGTTATAGCAGGGAGTTTATTTCCTCACCTTTTTTTTTCCCTTGGAGAAATTCATGGTGTTTTTGTCTTGTTTTTATAAACATTAGTAGTGTTCAGTTCTCTTTTTAGCAAGCTTCAGTTTTGTCTAACTTTTAAAAGTTTGTAATAATAAGCATCCTTTGTGAATTAAAACATGTTTATTTTCTTGATTATAATCTAGCTTTTGCTTTAAGTTGGTGGCACGGGGCAGGAGGAGTAGGTAGAGTTTTACTCGCCTTCTGCTTCCTGTGTCAGATGCTTGAGTTGGACTAAACCTTAGGAGAAGAAGCATTTCTTTCTCAACCCCAACTCTAGCTTTGCTTGGCCAGCAGCATATTATTTGTAATGCACAATACCAAGATTTGCTGTTTAAAGATGTTTCTTTGATCTGGATAAAATGTTCTTATACTACTTTTATAGCATTCCCTGTATATACAGAAATGTGTGTTTACATTAGTTTAGTTTGCCTGTTCCCTCCTGCCCTGTCTGTGCCCCATAGAAAGAAGGCTTGCTCTGATTTTTTTTTTTAATTGGAAAGGCAGATTTACAGAGAAAAGGAGAGACACACCTTTCATTTGCTGGTTCACTCTCCAAATGGCTGCAATGGCTAAGGCTGAGCCCATTTAAAGTCGGGAGCCTCCTCCCTGTCTCCTATGCAGGTACAGGGTCCAAAGGCTTTAGGCTATCCTCTGCTGCTTTCCCAGGCCATAAACAGGAACCTGGATGGGAAATGGAGCAGCCAGGACACAAACCAACACGTATATTGGGTGTCTGCACTTGTAGGCTGAGGGTTAGCCAACTGAGCCATTATGTTAACCGCTGCCCTGAATTTTTAAAAAGCTTTCCAAATTCCCACTTACTGAGAAAATTGAGTGAGCAAATTAAATCATGATTGGCCAGTTCCATGTGGTATGAAATGAAAGTTTTTAAACTTTTTGTTTTATTTTATTTTACGAACACTTCAGAAAAAAGCTAAATATGAAAAGTATTTCACAACAAGCTGTAAAACTGGTTTTTCATTTTGGGGAAGAGACCTAATAAGTAGTATTTAGCTAAATGCTTCAGCGGGTCCGACTGTTGAAAGTAACAAATACTGAAGCTTTCTGAAGACCTGTAAATTTAACCTTGCAATGTTGAAAAGAGCAGGTCAGCCAGCATTGAACTTGTCAACTGTAGTTACGAGATATTGTTTGTATACCAACACCTGACTCATTTGCTGGGTAATGCTTCTTAGTTTTGATCAGCCAGTCTCACACTTCACTTGCATACTGTGGCTCTGGTCTCCTTCATTTACATGATGAATTTTAAGTAATTTCCCCCAGTAACTAGTTTGTCCTCCCATCTTTTCAAAATTTATTACATAAAACCCCATCAGTGCCCCAGTATAGACATCAAACTTTTTGGAATTTCATTTAGAATCCTTGGAATTAGTTCTAAGTTTTGTACAAGAAATGAAATTCTAGGAGTATTTTAAGAACAGAATTCAGTTTTCCATGTTTATGTTTTGATCACTGATCTTGTCTGATTTGAGATTACTTACTCAAAAGCAACGTTTTATTAAGATTTAGAATTGCGCAAAATCACATTAACGCTATTAAGCCAAAATATTTTGAGTCATCTTGAAGCTTTATAAAATTATTTTTCAAAGGACATAGTGGAATGGTTTCTACTGTTCTGTTTAGGCGCAAACATTTTCTGAAACTTCCATCAACTTTTTTCCCCTGACTGCTGCTTTCTGTCATGTCAGAGGATGAAGTTTCTGCTGCTGCAGCAGAAGTACCTGGAATACCTGGAGGATGGCAAGGTCCTGGAGGCACTTCAAGTTCTACGCTGTGAATTGACGCCACTGAAATACAATACAGAGCGCATTCATGTTCTCAGTGGGTAAGGAGGCTGAGTTCTTAGACATCAGGACATGAGAGAGCTGTTATTTCCATGAAGTTCACCATAAAGTTGCAGCTCTTGAATATTTTTCCAAGATATAAGTATGTTATTATTGCCAGGGACTTATATAAAATCTGTCTGGGTCTGTTTTCATGTGTTTCAACTATTTGTTATCAAAAAAACTGTTCCTGTTAGAAGATTTACTAAATTAGTGGAAGGGGGAAGAAGTATGTATTGCCTGTGATTTGCTATTTCCAAATTGTAAGATCCTGTGGTATGGATAATAATACAATAAGCAGTCAAGTTTCCAGTGTGGATTCGATTTTTTAATGGCTGCTCACCATGTACTTAAACTCAGGTCCATACCAAGCCTTGAAGTTTTTGAAGATATTTCATATGCCCAAATTTCACATTTTTTGCATCAAAATCAATTTATCTTTAATTCTGCACATTTTTTAAGTGTCCTCAGTACTCTTTCTAGCTAATATTCTATATCATACCATATAATACTATGCATATGTTAATGGATTTTTTTAAAAAGATTTATTTGCTTTGATTGGAAAGGCAGATTTACAGAGAAAAGGAGATGTGGAACTTTCATTGGCTGATTCACGCCCCAAGTGGCCCTTTTCTTCTTGTTGTTCTTCTTATTTATTTATTTATTTATTTGAAAGAGAGGGAGAGAGACAGATTCCCATCTGTTGGTTCATTCTCCTAGTGGATGCAGTGGCAGGGGCTAGGCCAGACTGAATCTCAGAGCCTGAAACTGTCTCTTTCCAAGTGGCCAGAGCCCATGTGGGATGAAGTGTCAGAGTTCTGTGTTCAAAATAAAATTCTTTAATTTTTCTGCCTCTCTGCAGTTTCTATGCTATGCAGCCATAAAGCATCTCAGGATATTATGGTCATATCTTGCCTAAGTGTATTATCTCTACCCTTATTCCCTGTTAGTTATTTTATAAGTTGTTTACTACTTCCTTGCTTAAAAACTTGCTGGCTCTCTGGCGCACTAACAGTTTCTGCTCGATCTCGTGGGATGCCTGATTGTTTCCTACTCTCTTTGCCTTCTTTGATTACTCTCTAGTGAAACTAATATGCTTTCTGATCCTTAATTTGCCAGTCTTGAAGGCATTTGCAGTGCCCATCCGCTCCATCCTAAATGTGGTTCTCCCAGTTTTTGCAGGTGTATTTTATTTGTTTACTTCATAGTTATCTTTAAAATGCTTGTGTATTGGAAAGGTTAGTGGTTAAAAGCAGCATCTGCAGTTAGGTTGCAGCATTTCCATACTGCTGCTTTGCCTCTTCTAGGCCAGTTACATGAGATTTCTTTTACGGAGTTTCCTCAAAAGTTGAACAGTCAGGAACATGAATAGTAATGTTAGAATGTGTTCTAGAAATAGGTTAACCTATAATAAAAGGAAACGTCAAACACCCTGTCAACATGGAATTTAAGTTTATTCTAATGCAAAAACTTGAAAGCCATGCACGAGTTTTCATAGTATGCATTTTTTAACCTTTTTGAAGTCTTCTCATTTCATGTTTAGCTATTACTGTTTAACACAATGTTTTTGTAATTCTTTCCAAGTGCATCTTATATTAATGAACTAAATCCACTGTAGAAATTTCTTGAGCTATGTTAGTAAGAGCTGGATAGCTGAAATGCCAGTTATAGTCAGTGTTTTGTAACTCTTTATTCCAAAGGAAAGAGTTTGATAATTGTTGCTTTCTCTGTTTTACTTTTAGGTATTTGATGTGCAGCCATGCAGAAGACCTGCGTGCAAAAGCAGAATGGGAAGGCAAAGGGACGGCTTCCCGATCCAAACTGTTGGACAAACTTCAGAGTAGGATTCTTAATTCTTTGTTTTCTCTTAGGTTAGAAATAGATATGAGATATCAGTTGGGAGGCTTTGTTTCCAGGCAGTCTTACTAAGTGGTTGTAGGAGAGGAGGGGGAGTCTGTAAAGGAACACTGAAGCCAAAGATTTCCAAACTCTGCCTTGGAGGCTTGAGAGCTAAGAACTGGAGTCTGTTGAGGGGGCATTGATCCTAGAACAGTTTTCCTTCTATTTGTGTAATGTGGTGATGCTCCTCTGAAGATGTTAACTCTCAGAACTGTTGATGGAAAAAAATATGTAAACCACGGCTTTAAGCCGCAGATGTTTTAGAAATTATTTCAGTCGTTAAGATACAAGTTTCTTTAGGTAAATTTTTATTCCCCCCAAATTTATACCATCCAAATTGTAATGGTGGGCTCCTCTTTTGTCAGATCTTTACATATTAAAGACCTTCTTTGCTCTCGTGTGTGTTACTAATGTCCATGCCACGCCACATTCAAGAAAAAGCATATGCTATCCCATCGTTAAGATGGTGGTTAGTACATGTACACAGGCCAAGCAGCAGGATTGGACACAGGGTCAGTAGCCCAAAGGAGCACAAGTTTTTGTTGCATGTGCTTAAAAATGCAGAGTAGTAGGAGCTGAAGGTTATGGATGTCAACTGTCTGACCAGTGAACAAAGTACCGAGAGGTGCTGCCATCCTTGCAGAGCTCCTGGCTAGGTTAATACATGACCTCCCTGCCACAGTGAGGTGACCCTCACCGAACAGGAGCACATTGTTCCTAAGTCAGAAGAGGAGGTGGCTCAGAAGAAAAGATATTTCAGAAGAAGCTAAGGAATCAAATAATTTAATGACTTGGAAAAAAATTCAGCATAAAATCAGGTTAAAAGGAAAAAATATGTTCTGAAGTGTTATGCATGTTGGCATAGTAGTGCAGCACCTAAGAATCAACGAATCTTGCAGTTGGTTAATGCATATATCAAAACATCAGTTTTTCCCCGAGTTTCCATTGTGTCCTTGGCATTAGAAATGGTTTAATGAGAAATGGAAACTTGTTCTAACATTTGACTTGCTGCTTGTTTTTTATTTGATTTTTTTTAATTACTTATTCATGTATTTGAATGAAAAAATGATAGGCAGAGACAGACCTTCCATCTACTAATTCATTTCCCAAATGCCTGCAACAGGCAGAGCTGGGAACACAGAATTCCATCTGGGTCTCCCGCTTGGGTGGTAGGGACCCAAGTATGTGGACTGTCACCTGCCTTCCTGGGCTTATTATCAGGGAACTAAATCAGAAGTGGAATAACTGGGCTCAACCTAGCACTTGGGATAAGGGTGCCATATCCCAAGTGGTACCATGCCTCCCACGCTCCAGATTGCCCTTTGTTGAGTAGGGGTTTTTTTCCTTTTTTTTTTTAAATGCACATTTATTTATTTATTTATTTTAATTTGTTTTTATTGGAAAGGCGGATATGCAGAGAGGAGGAGAGTGGAAGATCCTCTGTCCGATGGTTCACTTCCCAAGTGACCACAATGGCCAGTGCTATGCCGATCCAAAGCCAGGAGCCAGGAGCTCTTCCGGGTCTCCCATGCAGGTGCAGGTCCCAAGGCTTTGGGCCATCCTTGACTGCTTTCCCAGGCCACAAGCAGGGAGTTGGATGGGAAGCAGGGCCACCTGGACTAGAACTGGCTATGATACGGAATCCCAGCACATGCAAGGCGAGGACTTGAACCACTATGCCATCGCGCTGGGCCCTCTTTTTTCTTTTTTTAAGATTTGTTAATTTTTATTTGAAAGGTAGGATTAGAGAGGAGAAACAGAGGTCATCCATCTGCTGGTTCACTCCCCAAATGGCCATAATGGCCAGAATCGAGTAGCCCAGAGCCAGGATCTTTCTTGGTCTCATGTGAGTGTGGGACCCAAATGCTCAGGGCATCTTCTGCTGGTTTCCCAGGCACATTTGCGTGGAGCTGGTTTGCAAATGGAGCAGTTTACACTTGAACCATTGGCTTGTGGAATATTGACCCCACCTCCACCAGAGACTTAGTGTGCTATGCCATAGCATTGACGCCTTTAAGATTTGTTTATTTGAAAGGCAGACATGCAAAGGAAGAGACCATTCATTGATTCACTTTTCAGATGGCCCCAGCAGCCAGGATTGGGACAAACCAAAGCCAGGAGTTTCATCTGAGTTTCACACATGGGTATCAAGGGTCCAGATACTTAGCCATCTTTGCTGCTTTCCCAGGCATGTTAGCAGGGATTCAGATTGGAAGTAGAGCCACTAGACTTAAACCTGTACCAATATCAGTTGCTGCTGGTGTAAGCAGTGGGTTTACCCACTAAGCCACAGTGCCAGTGCTAGAGACTTTTTTTGTATCTGATCTCTCTCTGCTATATGATTATCATTTGATTTTTTTTCATCATCATTTTTTCTTTTTGGTTGGAGTTTTGTTTTTTTTGTTTTCATTGTATCCCAACCTCAAGGCAGTATCATTTTAGCTACTGAGAAATATTCATAAAGCTTATGTATCACATTACCCAGAACTTCTCTATTGAAGGGGTACAGTGTTATTGGGCTGGAGGCAAGTAGGGAAAATAAGTAATTGTGTTACAGAAAGTTGACAGTTTATTATTATTTTATTTCTCTTTTTTAAAATATCTTCTATTAAAGCCTATTTACCACCATCAGTGATGCTTCCCCCACGGCGTTTACAGACTCTCCTGCGGCAGGCGGTGGAACTGCAGAGGGATCGGTGCCTATATCACAATACCAAACTTGACAACAATCTAGATTCTGTGTCTCTGCTTATAGATCATGTTTGTAGTAGGTAAGAGGAAAACTGCTTATATTCTGAAATAGAGTAACATTTTTACAAACTCAGTTGTGAAGCTTATGAATATGTTCTGTTTAGACTTTTCCCTAATATGTGGGCAGTGTTCTTAACTAAGCATTTATTCACAGGTAGAACTAAAACTGAATGTTAAGAGAAGTATACATGTTTACATAGTAAACCACAGTTTAATAAGTAAAGCTGGAGAGGGTTTTCTTTTTGTTGGCTGTAAAGTTTAGCTTCATTTTCTGACAGTTTGCTCTAAGTTACTGTAAAGAAACTTATGGTCAGGAAATAATTTAATGAAAGTTCTGCGTTTTAGTAGAAGATGGACTGTAAACCAAAAATGCTCAGGGTAACAGGTATTAATCTTCCAGGGTAAGTTGTTCTACCTACCCATGTACGTAATTTAGCATTTTAAGAATTTTGGGCTTTTCTTTTTTCTTAGTTGGTAAGAATGTTTTTAGTCTATGAAACTTTTTTTAATTAGTTGAAAAGAGAGAGCTAGACAAATGTCACATATGGTCATTTCAGTCAGGTCAGGCTGAAATCAGGAGCCAGGGTCTCCATCTGGGTGTCTTATGTGGGTGGCAGGGCCTCAAGCACTTAAGCCATCATCTGCTGCCTTTCCTGGCACATTGGTAGGAATCTGGAGTGAAAGCAGATAAGCTAGGACTCAGACCAGGCCCTGAGTTGTGAGTTGCTGATGGAAGCAGTGACTCAACATGTGCACCAAAATGCCTGTCCCTAAAGTACAGCTTTAAGATAACAAAATAAATTGTGTGATGTTTGAAACTCCAGGAAGGAAATGAGTTGGTTCTAGTGAACCAAAGATGAAGGGGAAATGGCTGAAGTGGATGTGCTCAGTTGGTTTTGCCCAAGGTCATCTGATGAAAATAGCATGAATAGGGAGGATAAAATTACAGCAGTGTGAAGGACGAGGATAACCACAAAAATTATGTATAAATGCATAACTATACTTTGATTTAAAATTTTAGGTGTGCGTAAACCACTTTGATTTGTAGTTGAGTTTTTACTCCCTTTTTAAATAAGTAATTAAGCTGTTGGCCTTAAATAAATGACTTCAAAATGTCATTTAGCTTAAAGTATAGGAGTACTGTTCGTTGCATGTCTTAAATGTTTTGTAAAGGAGTAATTAGAGATCCTTTGCTCTTATCCCTTTTTAGTCTTTAGCTCTATTCTGCATTTGATGAGAATTTTTAAGACTTTGGTTTAAATCAAATAGAGATAGTAAGGGACACGGCTAAAAAGACTGCATGGTTTTATGTTTCATGGTTCTTTAAAGAGATTTAAAGAAAATGTTCAAGCAGTGTGACCTCCCCCCATTGTTTTATATGTGGTTCATAAATTTATATATTGAAGAGTAATGACTAAACTTAATGGTTCAAGAATTATCTGTAGATTTAGAACTCACCTTTCTGTTTAGAAACTGAAATCTTGGAATATGTGATCCACATTTCATTACATGTAGAAAATATTTAGTGTAACCTTTTTCAACAGTGATGTCAGGGCTCAGGTTCCCATTCTTTCATGTGGGAAAGCACATGCTCTCCCTTGCCCTTTAGAGGAGGCCCCTAAAGCCGTTTCCTGCTATACAGTCAGAGTGTGTGCATCCTTTTTTTTTTCACTCTTCAGATTTCCATGGTACGTAGCACTTGAACAGCTAACAGCAGACCTGATGCTGGTATTGGTGTGGGGTGGCAAAGAAATGATGACTGTCACATAACAGTTAAGAAAAAAAGCCGTTAACAGGGCTGGTAATCTTAAAGATTTTTAAGTAATGACAAAAAAGTGACAGCATAAATACCACTCCAGTCATATATGTGTACAAATTTTCAGTAGACTAGATTATTTGTGCCTTATCATTTTAATTATTAGACAATCCTTTCTGAAAGGTATCTTTGCCACCCAAATTTCAAATACATTTTTTTACTCGGGCAGTTTTGGTCATTCAAATTACTGTACGTTTTATGCCTGCATATAAAGTGCTTCTCCTTTTAACTGACATTGCTATTGGTAAATTTGTAGGAAGAAGAAAAGATTTCTAAGATTGAAGCAAATTTTTTATTAGAATTTTATCCAGAGTTGTTTTTTAAAAATTGGATTTTATTGAATAACACTTGGAAAGAAAAGTGGCCTTGGAGTCGGCCATAGGTCCAGATGCTAAACTGTTACTTAGTGGGTTTATAACATCTTGTGCATTACTTACCATCAGCCTCATGAAAATTGAGATTATACTTCCTTTAATTATTAATATTTGTTTTATTTATCTGAATGCCAAGATGATAAAGACAGGGAGAACAGGAGACAGACATTCTACCTGCATCCACAGCCACAGGGCTAGGCTGGACTGCAGCCAGGAGCCAGGAAACCCATTGAGATCTTCATCTCAGCAGAGATAGAACTCAGCTACTTAATCCATCATTTGTTGCTTTCTGTCCACATTAGCAGGGAGCTAGATCACAGGCAGAACAGCCAGGTCTCAAACCAGCACTCCAGTAAGGGAGAAATTCTAATATCCCAGAAAGCAGCTTAATCCTCTACCCCACAGAGTTTTCCCCAACAGAACGTGTTTGTACATTATTGCTTTGAACGTAGATTTGAATGTTTATGCCTTATTGTCTGGATATTTTTAGGTAAGAATTTTAATATAATCCTATACGATCCAAGTAGTAGCCAGTAACTACGTAAGAGTACCCTTAAAAATGCAAAGCTATTCAAGTTAAATCAGTTTTTCTTTTTTTTTCTTTTTTTTTAAAGATTTATTTATTTGTATTGGAAAGCAAGATATACAGAGAGGAGGAGAGAGACAGATATGAAGCATCTTCCATATGTTGATTCAGTCCTCAAGTGGTTACAATGGTCAGAGCTGAGCCAATTCGAAGCCAGGAGCCTGGAGCCTCTTCCGGGTCTCCCACGTGGATGCAGGGTCCCAAAGCTTTGGGCCGTCCTCGACTGCTTTCCTAGGCCACAAGCAGGGAGCTGGATGGGAAGCCAAAGCCTGAGACAAGAACTGGCACCCAAGTAAATGTTCAGTGGAGTTATTCATTCTCACGTCAACTTCTTATTCTTTATTTGGGTAATATTACTCAAAAATTCTGGGCTTTGGGGCCCAGTGTGGTAGCCTAGCAGTTAAAGCACACACTGGGATCCTATATGGGTGCCAGTTATAATCCCAGTGACCCCGCTTCCCATCCAGCTCCCTGCTTATGGCCTGGGAAAGCAGTCAAGGATTGCCTAAAGCTTTGGGACCCTGCACCCATGAGGGAGACCTGGAAGAGCTCCAGGCTTTGGATGAGCACAGTTCCAGCCGTGGAAGTTACTTAGGGAGTGAATCAGTGGATGGAAGATCTTCCTGTCTGTCTCTCCTTTTCTCTATATATCTGAATTTGCAATCAAAATAAATAAATCTTGGAGAAAAAAAAACCCTTTCTAGCCTAGGTACTACTATTACTACTAATACTAAGCTGCCATTTATGAAGTCAAGCTCCATGTGCATGCGTCACACTCATGGTCTCAGCCTCTCATTTCAATTTTGTAGAAGATCAGATGTGCTTATTTTATTGTTGGAAAAAATTGAAATTTAGAGAGGTGAAATAAAGATTACAGAAGTACAGCTCTAGTACATGACTGAGTCAGAATTTAAGGCCTAAAAGTAAGCATTATGGTACAATAGGTAAAGCCACCACCTGCAGGGGCTGGCGCAATAGCATAGTGGTTAAAGTCCTCGCCTTGTACGCACCAGGATCCCATATGGGCGCCGGTTCTAATCCCAGCAGCTCCACTTCCCATCCAACTCCCTGCTTGTGGCCTGGGGAAGCAGTTGAGGGCGGCCCAAAGCTTTGGGACCTTGCACCCACGTGAGAGACCCAAAAGAGCTCCTGGCTCCTGGCTTCGGATTGGCTCAGCTCCGGCCGTTGCGGCCACTTCGGGAGTGAACCATCAGACAGAAGATCTTCTCTCTCTTTCATCTCTGTATATGCGCCTTTCCAATAAAAATAAATAAATCTTTAAAAAAAAAAAAAAAGGCAGCACCAGCATCCCCTGTGTTGGCTGCTTCAAGTCCCAGCTGCTGTACTTCTAATCCAGCTTCCTGCTAATTAACCTGAGAAAGCAGCAGCAGAGGGCCAGGGCAAGTACTTGGGCTTTGCACCACGTGGAGACCTGGAAGAAGACCTTGGCTTCAGCCTTATGCTTTGGGGGATGATCCAGCAGATAGAAGATCTCTCTGTCTCTAACTTTACCTTTCAAATAAACAAATCTTAAAACAAACAAAAAAATGTAAGGCCAGATCTGTCTGACTCTGCTTTTATTTTTAGCTTTTACTGTTAAAGTACGAAAGCTGCTGCCTTGCAGCGCACTTCTGTCGCCTTCCACAGTGTCAGCAAGAACATACACGGCTTCTGTATTTCAGGGATTTATGTAGTGGATTTTATATAAATAAAAATATAATGTTATCAATTCTAATACAATTAGCTGATGCCATCCAATTTAAACATATAAACATGAAGCCCTGATTATTAATTGTCTGTGGAAATGTATTTGATCATGCCTTTTTTTTTTAAGATTTTTTTTTTTATTACAAAATCAGATATACAGAGAGGAGGAAGGACAGAGAGGAAGATCTTTCGTCTGATGATTCACTCCCCAAGTGAGCACAATGGCCGGTACTGCTGTGCCTATCTGAAGCCAGGAACCAGGAACCTCTTCCAGGTCTCCCATGCTGGTGCAGGGTCCCAAAGCCTTGGGCTGTCCTCGACTGTTTTCCCAGGCCACAAGCAGGGCGCTGAATAGAAAGTGGAGCTGCCAGGATTAGAACCGGCGCCCATATGGGATCCCGGGGCATTCAAGGCGAGGATCTTAGCCGCTAGGCCACGCCGCTGGGCCTGATCATGTCATTTTTTAAGGTCTTATTAATGTTGGAAAGGCATAGGTAGAGGTAGCTATTTTTTTAGATATATTTATTTTTATTGGAAAGGCCAAATTTACAGAGAGGAGGAGAAACAGAAAAATCTTCTGTCTGCTGATTCACTCCCCAAGTGGCCACAACAGCCAAAGCTGAGCTGTTCTAGGAGCCAGGAACTTTTTCCAGGTCTGTTACTTGGGTGCAGGGTCCCAAGGCTTTGGGCCATCCTCAACTGCTTTCCCAGGCACAAGCAGGGAGCTGGGTGGGAAGTGGAGCAGATGGAACACAGACCAGCATCCACGTGGGATCCCTGTACATGTAAGGTGATGATTTAGCCGCAGAGCCATTGCACCAGGCCCAACAGTAAATTCTAAGTTGAAGCAGATTTTAGATTACTAACAGCCCCTGGTTACCTTAAGTAAAAAATTTCTAATGTTAGAATGTCACCTTTTTCAATGTACCAGTAAAAACTTTATTCTGAAGATTTGTAAGTGCTTTTGATCTTAACATTTGTGATATAATCTCCTAAATAATTATTTGTGGTCTTCTTTGTAGGAGGCAATTCCCATGTTATACTCAGCAGATACTTACGGAGCATTGTAATGAAGTATGGTTCTGTAAATTCTCTAATGATGGCACTAAACTAGCAACAGGCTCAAAAGACACAACTGTTATCATATGGCAAGTTGATCCGGTATGTACTCCACTGTTAATGTTGAGATTGCAAAGAGATAATTTTAAATCTAATTGATTAGTAGTGCATATTTTAAAAGTACTTGTATGTAAATAGCCTATTTTTTCTAGAGTGGGGGAGGTTTGTGGCCTCTAAGTTTCTCTTTGTTATAGAGATAACATAGAGATGGATATCAAAGTTGCTGAGTATGGATCATGTGCTGGTGATTGTACTAAATCTGTGCGTGCTGTGTCTGTCCTGAGATACTGACATGTCCTGTTTTCAGATGAGGAAACTGAAATCAAAATTAAATTCCTGGGCTCTCAAAGTTAGTAAATGGCAAATAAAATTTCTTTTCCAAATCACTGCTATTTTTTAAGGATGTATTTATTTTACTTCAACGTCAGAGTGACAAAGAGTGGAAACGGTAGAGAAAGAGCATTTTCATCTTCTGGATCCCTCCCCAAGTGTTTATAACAGCCAGAGTTAGTCTGATTCAAAACCCAAGAGTTTCAGGACTTCGTTGTGGGTATAGAGACCAATGCACTGGGCCCGCCTCTGCTGCTTTCCCAGGCCATCAGCAGGAAGCTAGATCGGAAGTGAGGTGGCCAGATCTTGAACCAATGACCATGTGGGAAGCCAGCATCACAGGTGGAGAATTAGCATGTTATGCCACCATGCTGGCCCCAAACCCACTGGTATTACTGTCTGTGTCAAGGTATGTCTTTCGTAGTATTTGATTTTCAGAGTAATAAAATGCCTGTTCTAAAAAGTGAGAAAAGACTTACTCTGTTTTCTAAAAGTATTCATTATCTTGTGTAATTTTTTTAATTCACTTATTTGAGAGAAGAAAATAGAAAGCTCCAATTCTCTGATTCACTCCTCAAGTACCTACAGTGGCCAGGCTGAAGCTATGAGTCAGGAGCTTAGTCCATGCTACCACATGGAAGGCAGAAACCCAGTTACTTGAGCCGTACCTGTGCCTCCCCGTGTCTGCATTAGCAGGAACCTGGGGTCCAAAGCCAGAGGTAGGTGTCAAATGCAAGCACTCTAATATGGGATATCAGTGTCATTAGGCCAAGGGCCCAGCCCCCGTTCTGTTTATAACTACATGACTACATATGAGTAGATATTAGTATGTTTTATCTTTTGTCTCTGTAAAATTGGTTTATTTCCTGGAAAGAAAGGGAAGAGACAGAGAAAGCAATCTTCCATCTGCTAGTTTTCCACAAATGGCCACAGCTGGGTCAGGGCCAGAGGCTTGTTTTATGTAGGGTTGCATCTTTGTTTTGGTAACACTATATCTGCAAAACAAACAAGAAAGATTGTCTACATTTTTATTCTGCAGTTATTTATAAGGTATCTGAAAGGGAAGGCAACAATATAAAAAAAACACTGCTTTTTAATATTTTTTCTTAATATCATTGTCTCACACTCTTAGTTAGCATTTAGTAAGCACCCACTGTGTGCCAGTTTTTGGCTCCACACAGACTGAGTACATAAGAATACACTGTAAAATTGTTCTATAATGAATGCTGCAGGAGCATACAGAAAAGGTCATTCTGGAACTGAAAAGCTCAGGAAGTAAGACAGTACATCTTAGGTGAAACAAAGAAATAAAGAACTATTAAAACTAGTTAAGAGTTGCCTTTGGCTAAATTAGAGTGTGCCTTGTCACTTGTATGGTCTGGGAAAGAGTTGGTGTTGAACTGAGATGATGCTAACAAACTAAGCAATAGATAGCCCAGCGAACTTTTGTGTACCTTGTTGAGGATTAGACAGTTTTTTGTTTTTAATTATTTGAAAGGCAGAGTCCACGGAGGAGGAAAGACCCATTCATCTGCTGGTTTTCTCCCGAAGCATCTGCAGAAGCCAGGTCAAAGCCAGGCGTGCTGTCTGGGTGTTACTGAGGTCTTCCTAAGGGTTGCAAGTCTTTGGGCCGTCTTCAACTACTTTCCCAAGCGTGTTAGTAGGAAGCTGCATCGGACACTGCACTCTAAATACAGAAGATTTAAAGAGCATGTTTTTAGATAGCTAAAATGATCTGGGACAGTATTATTTTTGCTTCCAGCATTGTTTTATGTACATGAAGCAGTTTTTGAGTTAATATTTTTAAAGGGATTTGTTATCACTTAAGCAAATCGTTGTTATCCTAGAACATTAATATGAACAAAAATTTGATCCTAGAAGATTTTGAGCTAGTCAGAAAAATGTAACTTGTCCAGTTAGTAAATAATACAGATGACTTGGCCCTAATGCTGCTGATAGGATCCATGTACCTCATGTCTGTCCCATCCCAAGAAAGAATTGGATATAATTGCAGTGTTAACTTTTGCTTTGTTAATATAGATTTAGAAATAGCTAATTTGTTAATAATAAAAGTAGAGCTCCATGGAGAAACAAACCAATAATGCATAATCATTGCTCGGAAAAATTTCAGCCTATTTTTCTTTTCTTAAAATTTATTTTTATTTGAAAGGCAAAATTATAGAGGAAGACAGGGAGAGAGAGAACTCTTCCATCTGCTAGTTCATTCCCCAGATAGCTACAGTGGCCAGAGCTGGGCTGATTCAAAACCAGGAGTTTCTTCCAGGTTTCCCATACAGACTCATAGGCCAAAGGACTTTGAACTATCCTCCACTGCTTTCCCAGTCCATAAGCAGAAGGCTAGATTAGAAGTGGAGCAGCCATGACTCAAGCTGGCACCAATATGGTATGCCAGCACACAGATGACCTGCCGCCTTTTTTTTTTTTTTTTTTTTTAAGATCTATTGTTGATTTCAATGGCATAGTTAGAGAGATTCCATTTGCCTATTCACTATCCAAATGACCACCATGGCCAGGTCTGAGCTAGGCTGAAGCCAGGAGCTTGATCCCTGTCTCCCCACTACTAGAGCCATCTTTTCATTTCCCAACTATGTCAGGAGGTGGATTAGAAGTGGAGCAGCTGGGCTTGGGATTGCGGCTCTGAGAGTGTTAGCGTCGGTACCACAGGCAGTGTCTAACCTGCTGGGCCACAGTACTAGCCCCTGGCCAACCTAATTTTACCAGACGAGTTGCAGATCAGTTCCTAATGGCTTATGGGCCATTGCTGTAATCACCACCTCCAAGGCTCAGGTAAACTCAGTGTATCTTCACACTAACTAAAATCTGACTGTTTCTATTTCTAGATTCTCTGCTCTTCTACTTCTTTTTTTTTTTTTTTGAAAGATTTATTTTCATTATTTTTTTATTGGAAAGGCGGATATACAGAGAGGAGAGACAGAGAGGAAGATCTTCCGTCCGATGATTCACTCCCCAAGTGAGCGCAACGGGTCGATACTATGCCGATCCGAAGCCAGGAGCCTCTTCTGGGTCTCCCACGCGGGTGCAGGTTCCCAAAGCTTTGGGCCGTCCTCGACTGCTTTCCCAGGCCACAGGCAGGGAGCTGGAAGGGAAGTGGGGCTGCCGGGATTAGAACCGGCGCCCATATGGGATCCCGGGCATGCAAGGCGAGGACCTTTAACCACTTGCGCCACCGCGCCGGGCCCTGCTCTTCTACTTCTTAAGATTTAATTGTTTTTATTGGAATGGAGGATGTATGGAGAGAAGAAACTGAAAGATCTTCTGTTTACTGGTTCACTCCCCAAATGGCCACAGCGGGCACAGCTGAACTGATCAGGAGGCAGAAGCTAGAAGCTTCTTTCAAGTCTCCCACATGGGTGCAGGGTCCCAAGTACTTATACCATCCTCCACTGCTCTCCAAGGCATATTAGTAGAGACATGGATCAGATCTGGAACAGCTGAGAGAGACAAACTAGTACCTGTACAGGATGTTGCCACTGCATGGTGGAGGATTAGCTGACTGTGCCACTGCCAGTCCCAGCTCTACCTTAATTTTTTTCAAAATTGTTTATTTGCTTGAAAGGCAGTTAGAGGAGGGAGAGAAGTCTTCCATCTTTTGGTTTGCTCCCAGAATGGCCTCAGCAGCCAGGACTGCCATGAGCCAGGAACTGCATCTGTACCTCCTATGTGGGTGTAAGCACCCAAGTTCTTGGGGTAGTCTTCCTTTGCTTTTAAAGATTTGTTTTTATTGGAAAGGCAGACCCACAGAAAGGAGGACGGACAGACAGAAAGATTCTGTCTGCTAATCTACCCCACAAGTGGCTGCAAGGCCAGAACTGAGCCAGTCTGAAGCCAGAAGCCAGGGGCTTCCTTTGGGCTATCCACAACTGCTTTCCCAGACCACAAGCAGGAAACAAGAAGGGAAGTGGAGCAGCCGGGACACAATCTGCAAACTGTATGGGCTCCTGGCGCTTGAAGATGGAAGACTAACATGTTGAGGCAAAGTTTCTGCCTCTAAAATTTAGTTCTTTAGCTTAGAATAAACAAGTCAGTTCTTCAAGCCTTGGTCTATTAGCACTATGTCCTTTGCCCTCTATATTTTTGCCTTTGTAAGCTAAGAGTGCCAAGCTTAAAATTAGACAATCCTTATTCACTTCTAACTCTATTTTGAACAGGCAGATTTCTGACTCTTCTGATCTTCTATTTCCTTCCTTATAATGTGAGATAAAAGGCAATACTGAGCTCTTAGCTTTTTGAGTGTTAAATGGGATATTTTTATGTGCCATTGATTAATACTAAGTGTTCACTTTGGTGATGGGAACATAAAATAGTACAGTCTCTTGAAAATAATTTGGTAGTTTCTCAAAACATTAAGCATAGTTATTATATGACTCTGGAATTTCACCCCTGTGTGTGTGTGTTTTTTTAAGATAAATAAAAGCATGTCCCCCTCAAAAAAACATCTTGCAGGATGTGTACAAGGTAGCAGTAATCCAGGCATTCATCAGCTGAACTACCAGGCATCTTGAGGGCAACATGGTGGGTAGGCTAATCCACCTGTGGCACTGGTATCTTCTATGGGTGCTGGTTCTAGTTCTCACTGCTCCATTTTCGACTTAGTTCTCTGCTTATGGTCTGGGAAAGCAACAAGATGGTGCAAGTCCTTGGGTCCCTGCGCCCTTGTGGCAGAACCAGAGGAAGCTCCTGGCTTCTGGCATTTGATTGGCTCAGCTCCCATTGTTGTAGCCATTTGGGTAGTGAACCAGCAGAAGGAAGATCTCTTCTCTCTCTGTAACATCTTTCACTTAAATTCTTTTTAAAAAATCTTTAAAAAGAAAACTGCTGGGCATCTGTGAAGTAGAATACTATTTAGCAATAAAAGTGACTGAAATCGTTGATGATTTCTCCATTGAAGATGAACCTTGCCTTGTGTTAAGTGAAAGAAGCCAATTACAAGACTCCACATCATGTATCTTTCCATTTCTATGAAATGGTTGCCAGATGCCACCGGGAAGTGAGCATGACTGCTGATGGGTATGGGATTTCTTTGGGGTTGATAAAGATGGTCTGAAATTAGATGTGATGATGGTTGCACAACACTGACAATACTCTGATAACATAAGTTGCACACTTTTCAAGGATGGAGTTTCTGGTAAGTCACAGTTCAATCAAAGCTTTAAAAAGTAAAAGTTAGCTCTTAATTATGCCTATTTTTTATTTCCTTGTCAGCTTGTTAAGGGTGATTTCTGTGTCACCTTTATAATTCCATATGGTACCCAGTGTATATGTAATATTTCTAGTAATGTTACAGTGTGATTGAGTCTGCGAAGAAAGCTTTTCCCGACTTGCTTGAGAGGACAGTTGGCATGAAAACATCCAGATTACTATGTTATCAGAGTACTTTTTTTACAGCTATTTAAGTTCTTGCGCCAGAAGACAATGATTTTTAGGGATGGGAGTAAACAGTGATCTGTTTTTCTTCCTAGGATACCCACCTGCTAAAATTGCTTAAAACATTAGAAGGACATGCTTATGGCGTTTCTTATATTGCGTGGAGTCCAGATGACAACTATCTTGTTGCTTGTGGCCCTGATGACTGCTCTGAGCTTTGGCTTTGGAATGTACAAGTGAGCGAGTTCCATCCTTGGTTTAGCCTTTATGTGACAAATGTCAAACTGTGTATATTTGTTGCAACTCTTTTCTTGGTTTGAAGAACAGAATCATTCAACCCATATTACCATAATGTATGACTTATAAAACATAATTCCTAAGGTGCAATCAAGTGTTTAGATTTATAAGTTATTCTGAATAATAGTTTTTTTGTCCAATGGGTTTTATACTATTTACTGTGGTACTTCTGGAACCATTTTACAACTCATGGTTCTACAGCATACACAGAACTACCTTTGCAGTATATAAAATATGAGCATTAAATCCAGTTTCTCTCACATCTTCTTACATGTATTTAATATTCTGAATTCATTTAATGAAGCTAAATGATTTTAGTACTTAATATTTTAATGACCTTACTTTTTTTTTTTTTTCCATTAAAAAGTCAGAGGAGGAGAGACAGAGAGGAAGATCTTCCATCCGATGGTTCAATCCCCAAGCGGCCACAGCAGCCAGTGCTGCGCCAATCCAGAACCAGGAGCCAGGAGCTTCTTCCAGGTCTCCTACATGAGTGCAGGGTCCCAAGGCTTTGGTCCGTCCTCAACTGCTTTCCCAGGCCACAAGCAGGGAGCTGGATGGGAAGTGGAGCTGCCGGGACTAGAACTGGTGCCCATATGGGATTCCGTGCATTCAAGGCGAGGACTTCAGCCACGTCGCCATGCTGCTGGGCCCACCTTTACTATTTCTAAATTAAAAATTGAACTTTATCCAGAGTCCCATTTTAGAAAACCTCGGAATAGATTGTTGTATTAAAGATTTTATTTATTTGAAAGGCAGAATTAAAAACAGAGTGATATTTGCATCTGCTGCTTCATTGCCTAGATGGCTGCAATGGAATGGACAATCCCATGCCCAGGTGGGGAGCCAGGAATTGTTTTGTCTCCTGTGTGTAGCAGGGGCCCAGAAATTTGGGCCGTTTTGTACTATTCCTGGATTGGAAGTGGAGCAGCTGTGAATCAAACTGATGCCTTTGTGAGATGCCAAGTCTCGGGTGGTGGCTTAACCCTCTGTGCCACAATGCTGGCCCATGTAAGACTAGATTTTCTCACTGCTCAACATATCCATGTAGCAGTCCCAGCTTTTAAAAAAATTTTTAAATACTAAGAAAAGTTGAGTGTCAGCACACAATGACTCAATTGGCTAATCCTGTGCCTTAAAGCGCTGACATCCCATATGGGCAGCAGCTCCACTTCCCATCCAGCTCCCTGCTTGTGGCCTGGGAAAGCAGTCGAGGATGGCCCAGAGCTTGGGGACCCTTGACCCATGTGGGAGACCTGGAAGAATCTCCTGGCTCCTGGTTTTGGATCAGCTCAACTCTGGCCATTGTGGCCATTTGGGGAATAAACCAATGGATGGAAGATCTTTGTCTCTGTTTCTCTGTAAATTTGTCTTTCCAATAAAAATAAATGAAAAAATTATACTGATCAGAGTTATATATATGATTACTTCCTGAGATTAAATAGTTACTGATATTTTATGTTCATATGCATGCATAGATAAGTACAGACATGCATATAAGCATGTACATATGCAGAAAGCCATATCTAAAACATTTGAAAGTAGAAGTATATTTTGCTTCCTAATACTTACATATCTCCCTAAAATGAGACGCTATGTATTCAAACTGTATTAGCTTTGAATACCTAAAGATCTTAACTAAAATTCTGTGGTTGCTAATGTTGTTTTTTTAAAAAAATCTCCAATTGTCCCCAAAATATCTTCCCAGCAATTTTTTGAAAACAGTGTTTGCGAGATCAGTGTTGTATTTGTGATTGGTTTCAGGGAGTTGGCAAAACAGAGTAAACCGTTTTCTGTCAGTAAAACAAAGTTTGAAATGATTTAACCTAACAGACAAAAGAATTACTTCTTCATTAAAATTTTCATTTTGTCTTCATAGGAAGGAAGGAAGTGTATACTAATTCTGTGATACAGTCTTTAAATTTTAATGCCTATTTTGTGTTCCTTGGAGTCAATTTTAAGTTTCTGGACAAACTGTGTTTTTGTGTGACTGTTTTCCTCAGTGTGCTTTGTCTGCTGAGACTTGCTGTACATGGATGATTTTCTCATGAGGTGTGAATGATTCCTAGGTGTTTGGAGTAGGTTCTAGTAATCTGACAGCCGTACATACGCGGTGTCCTTAGCGTGACAGGAAAGACCGATTCTGACTTTAAAATGCTATGTGTTAGCATTTTTGTGAATTAAAATTCTCAGGGTCTACCTATTGCATGTGTATGTGTGCTTGTAAACTTTTAAGTATTTATAACAAGTAATCCCCAAAAGTATTTAGGTTAGAGTAGTTAGCAGTCTGGGGGAATAATTTAAGATTGTTAAACTCTTTTTCAGGTTAAGGGAGATAATCTGATTTTCTGCTTTTGTGCCCTCTTTGCTTTTATTACTTGGCCCCATTGCCTAATCATAAAACCTTTGTTTTCATTCTTTTATTTTTACTTTTGATTACCCATTTCTCACAGGAAAATTATGCCCATGTACTTTTTATTATACCAAGGGCAGCTATTTCTCTCAGATCCTGTTTCTAATTCCTGAACAAAATGGAATCAAGACTAGAGTAAATGGTATGTGTATACCTTCTAAGTTGAATGACTTAGAAATGTAACAGGAGGATATCTGAGGGTTAGAACCACTAAATATTCTTGCTCATTTGGAGATAATGTAGAAGAGCTAGGTTCAGCAGCACACAGATCTTTCTTACTGAAATATAGTCAATGTTAGAAAAAAATCCATTTTATTACTTCCCATTTCCCTAATGTGTTCTGCCTTTCTGTAGCATTTTTAGATTTATTTATTCATATGAAATAAAGAGAAAAAGAAAGATACACCAATCTTTGATTCACTGGCTCACTCCCCAAATGCTCATGACAGCTGGGCTTGTGCCAGGCAAAAATCAAGAACCTATAAATTTGGGTCTCCCCTGTGAGTAGGGAGGTGCACAAGTGCTTGGCTACCATCTGCTGCTTCCCAGGGGACTGAAGGAGAAGCAGAGTAGTTGCAGACTTAAACCAGCACTCTGATAACAAGATGTGGCTCTCCCAAGTGGCAATTGAATGGCTGCACTGGAATGGTTCCCCATTCTGTATTTTGGTAGAAAATTTAAAATAAATTCCATTGCTCTTCACCTAGCTTAAGGGCATAATTTTATTACCCATTAATCCAGTTTTAGAATAATATATATAAAACTTTGGGCTGAGATATGGAATCTCAGAAGAAATGGGTATGTAGCCTTAGGCTTTATCATCGTGCTTGGGACAAACTATATGTTCATCAGCTGTAGCTCATGTAACAGGAGGGACTTGTTTGAAGCTACATTCTAATATCTACTCTTTAGATACCTGTGCTGGGCATTGTTCAACTCCTGGGTTTTCTTTCAAGTCTTAATTTCTCATCTGAGTGCTGTAGTCATTTTTGTAAGGCCACTTGAAACAGTTGATATATCTGATTAGGAAACAACTAACCAAAATATTTGGATATTCGAGTTACTAGTTCTTTGTTGTCTTTTGTTAAAATAAGCCCTTTCATGAATTATTTAAAGGTCTTATCCATTGTTTTATTTCCTTATAGACGGGAGAATTAAGGACAAAAATGAGCCAGTCTCATGAGGACAGCTTAACAAGTGTAGCTTGGAACCCAGATGGGAAACGTTTTGTGACTGGAGGCCAGCGAGGCCAGTTCTATCAGTGTGTAAGTATCCACTGCCCCTTCCCAGCATGTGCTTGTTCCAAAGCACATTTAAGTGTTAGTTTTGTTTTATTTATTTATTTTTTAAAAGATTTATTTATTTATTGAAAAGTCAGACACAGAGGAGAAGAGACAGAAAGATCTTCCCTCTGATGATTCACTCCCCAAGTGAGCGCAACAGCCAATGCTACGCCGATCCAAAAAGGATGGGAAATGGAGCTGCCAGGATTAGAACCAGCGCCCATATGGGATCCTGGCGCATTCAAGGCGAGGACTTTAGCTGCTAGGCCATGCCACAAGGCCCAGTTTTGTTTTATTTAATAAAATCATTTATCTAGAAATTTTGATAAAATGCACTGTATCAGTACCTCCTCTGCTATCCTGCTAAATAAGTTTTGTTGCATGTAGTGTTCTTTTAAGATTTATTTATTTTTTATTACAAAGTCAGATATACAGAGAGGAAGATCTTCCATCCAATGATTCACTCCCCAAGTGGCTGCAATGGCTGGTACTGCACCGATCCAAAGCCGGGAACCAGGAACTTCTTCTGGGCATCCCACACGGGTGCAGGGTCCCAAGGCTTTGGGCCGTCTTACTGCTTTCCCAGGCCACAAACAGGTTGCTGAATGGGAAGTGGAGCTGCCAGGATTAGAACTGCCGCCTGTATGGGATCCTGGTGCGTTCAAGGCGAGGACTTTAGCCACTAGGCCATGCTGCCAGACCCTGTTTCTTTCATTTAAAAGAAAAATATATCATTTCAAATGTTTATACACAGTATAGGCCTTGAGTTGAGAAAACAATTTGTTTTAGTCTTTTTAATATCCTAATTCATTGGAATGGAAAAAAATAGTGTTTAATTCTGTTGGAGATTTTTTTGTATTTTTGTAACCCAAAGGATGCTGAATTTCTCGAGCAAACAGCCTTAAATAACTGAAGAATAGAAGTGGTGATACTTGGGCCTGGCACAGTAGCCTAGCGGCTAAAGTCCTTGGCTTGAACGTGCTGGAATCCCAAGGCTCCTGGCTTCGGATCAGCACAACTCCAGCCTTTACAGTCGCTTGGAGAGTGAATCAACAGATGGAAGGTCTTCCTCTCCATCTTTCCTCCTCTCTGTGCATCTGACTTTCCAATTATTAAAAAAAAAAATCCTAAAAAAGAAGAAAGGCAGTGATAATTGCTTCCGGAGAGCTTTTCAGTGTTTGAGTTTTATTTTGATTAGTAGCTGCTGTTTTTGTTTTGGATGGTTTGAATGCTAAAAATAAGTAATGGCTAAGTAAGCAGGCTGTGGTATAGGCACCTCATCTTTACTATCCTGTGTATATTCTGTGTCCTATATCTTTGCCTCAGCAGGGTTCTAATACGCCCTTCCAGATGAGTTATAATCATTTTATGTAGCTTAAAGATAATTTACTGTAAGGATTTCTAATGTAATCATTATGAACCACCAGTTTTATTAACCTTGTTTGAAACTCATGGAATTCAATGTCTTACCATGGAAGCACAGTTTGTGTTTTTTAAGATCTGTTTATTTTATTTGAAAGAAAGTCTCAGAGGGAGAGACAGAAAGAGAAATCTTCATGCACTGGTTCACTCCCCAGGCAGCTACAACAGCTGGAGCTGGGTTGATTCAAACCAAGAACTTCTTCAGGTCTCCCACGTGGGTGCAGTCGCCCAAGGCACTGGGCCAGCCTCCTCTGTCCTGGCGGAGTTTTGGGGGAGCTGGAGTGAAAGTGGAGCAGCTAGAATACTGGCCAGCACATATGTGGGATCCTGGCACTGCCAGCACATGATAAGCTTGTTATATCACCACCCTAGCCCCGGCTGTTTATTTTGAATCCTGTGGAAACGAGACCATGTGCATTTCTGCTCATTTTCTGCCCTGTGCAGTTTTTAACTTTCTGGATATAGAATTTCACAGTTCTCTAATCTGTAACCTGGGAATGGTGATCCCTCTCAGAGCTTTGAGATAGTGACTTTAAGAACCTAAGTCCGTACATGGCTCTTTTTTTCTTGAATACATTTCAGTCCACAGTTGGGGAACCCAAGAATAGGGAATGCTTCAGTTATTTTCTAATAAAAATGAAACTTTACATGGAACTTAAAGATTATTTCTTTATGATTGCCTTACTTACACATGATCATCTAGTGAAGGGAGAAGAGAGCTTTTAATACAGCTGAACCTGAATTCAAATTCTTGCAGTTAAGAATACTTATGGAACAATTATGTTCCAGGGTGGTTTGTTTTAAAAAGAATCTTTGTGGGCCCAGCATGATAGCGTAGCGGCTGAAGTTCTCACCTCTAATGCACCTGGATCCCATATGGATGCCAGTTCTAATCCCGGGAGCCCCACTTCCCATCCAGCTCCCTGCTTGTGGCCTGGGAGACCTGGAAGAGCTCCTGTCTCCTAGCTTCAGATTGGCTTAGTTGTAGATGTTGCGGCCACCTAGGTAGTGAATCGTCAGATGGAAGATCATCTTCTCTGTCTCTCCTCCTCTCTATATCTGCCTTTCCAATAAAAATAAATAAATCTTTTTTAAAAAAAAGATTCTTTGTGTTTTGGGCTTTCTGAACCATGTGTATTATGAAGTTAACAGTGTCTTCTTGCTCAGGATTTAGATGGTAATCTCCTCGACTCCTGGGAAGGAGTGAGAGTGCAATGCCTTTGGTGCTTGAGTGACGGGAAGACTGTTCTGGCATCAGATACGCACCAGCGAATTCGAGGATACAACTTTGAGGACCTTACAGATAGGAACATGTAATTACTTTTCTGTTTTTGTTATACAACAATTATCTGATTTATATACTAGAATGTATAGTAGTGATTTTTAAAGATACATTCATTTTTACTGTGGGTTTTTGTTGTTGTTTGTTTTGTTTTTATTATCCATTATACAACTTTGTAGGCTTAGTGATTCCCCCCTTCCCTGCCTCTTCTCGCCTGCTCATTGTCCCATGTATTTTACAATCAGTAGTCTTTCATCTGGGACTCTCAAGTGCTTAGGGCATCTACTGCCGTCCCAGGCACATTAGCAGGGAGAGGGATTGCAAGTGGAACCACCAAGACTCAAACTGATAGCCATATAGAATAATGACATTGTAGCCAGCAGGTTAATCCACTGTGCCTCATTGCCATCCCATTTGATCATTTCAGTTTGTGGACTCTTACTGTATTGCTTCTGACAAATTATTTTCTGCTTACAGAGTACAAGAAGATCATCCTATTATGTCTTTCACTATTTCAAAAAACGGCCGGTTAGCTTTGTTAAATGTAGCAACTCAGGTATGTTAATAATACAATTCTCAGAAAATTTTACCTTAGCAGAAATTTTAATTCTAATTTCTTAGAATTCATATTAACACATATTAAAGTTCTTTAACTTGAAACAGAACATATGCTTATGTTCTCTTTTCCCTGCAGGGAGTTCATTTATGGGATTTGCAAGACAGAGTTTTAGTGAGAAAGTATCAAGGTGTTACACAAGGGTTTTATACAATTCACTCATGTTTTGGAGGCCATAATGAAGACTTCATCGCCAGTGGCAGTGAAGGTAAATAATATTGTTGGGTTTAAAGTTCTATAATTTTTTTTTCTCAACACAAGTAATTATATCTTTATAAATCCTAGAATTCCAGATATTAAAATTCTTGTGCATTATTTATCCAACACATTGATCGTTCTGCTTTTTTCAGGGAGGAAAGAAATGGCTTGAGCTCTCATTATTACATTCTGTATTCTGATCCCATAAAGATGTATTTGACTCTTGGCTCAAATCAAGATCTAGTCAGATCATCATGCTTTCATGTGTCCTGCATATTGCTTAAGAGGTTATTCAGAATTAGTATAGACTTTTTTTAAAAAATCAGATTTAGTTAGGATGTTATATAATTGTGTCTATGTATTTTTTTCTCTTACATTCCTTCCCCACCACCACCCCCTAAAATTTATTACATAGGGAAGAGATCAGGTCCCATCCTGACGCATTGCTCAGGTAGCCAGAGTGGTAAAACTGGGAGCCTGTTTGGGGTTTTTGTTCTGTTTTGTTTTGTTTTGTTTTTTGGGTTACTTCTTTGAAAGGGTGACAGTGTGAGTGTCGAGAAGAAAGGCAGAGGTTGAGATTGTTTGTCTGCCATTCACTCTGCAAATCCCTGCAGGAGTTGGGGCTGGATGAATCAGGTTGAAACCTGGAGCCAAGAACTCCAATTACGTCTCCCGTGTTGGTAACAGGAAGCCCAGCATCTGGGTATGCATCTGCTGCAACACCTTAGTAAGGACCTGGATCCGAAGCAGAGTAACCCTGACACTCACAGAGGCATTCCAGTCCAGGATATGGATAGCCCGAGCTGTGGTCTCATTTCTCTGCCATGCCTGCCCCTCAAAATCTGTTTTAGTCCAGGTCTGTTTAGTGGATAGCAGGAGTCCAATTAGCTGAGTCATTAGTAAGCCTCCCAGGGTCTGCATTAGCAGGAAGCTAGAATCTATTAAGTATAAATAAGTAATTGTTTCCTGTCCCTACCTTGATTAAAAAAAATTCATCTCAATGAATAAGAGGATCTTAAAGGGTTTTTCCTTTAAGAATGAAGTTTGTTTTAAAATTGTTACCAAAGACATTTAACAATTTTATTTTAACATCAAGCATAGCAATTTGTATATTCTCTTTCCTCAAAAAAGAAAAAAAGTATGTCAGACAGAATTGTTGGGAGGAGAGAAGAGTGATTCACTGTGGATTCATTCTTTTCCAACCAAATGCTTTTTTCCTGTGTGTTCATGTCTCCAAGCTTGCTCACTGATTTCTAAGTGACTTTTTCTGTGGACTGTGTGAAGTCTTGTACTTGCTTTTTAGTTCCTCCTAGTTCTAAGAACTCTCTCCCCATGCTCTATTCAGTCTGCTTCTGGTGGGTATTTTCCCTCTGGGTTACATTCAGAATATCCCATGGTTCTAAAAAAAAATGTGGCTACCATTATTCCTCTTGGTGCCACCCTTTCCTCTTAAGGCCAGACTAAGAAATAAATGTGATATATCCTGCTTAGGCCTAAAAGCCAAAATGAGGCATGAATTAGAGATTTTTTTCTGAGGCTTACTCAAGTTATGTAGGATGGTTCTAAAAATGCTATGAACACCATAAGATGTGCTGACTCGCTGTCCCAAGATGATCACATTAGTGCATTTGCAGTTTATTTGCAATATATTTCAAGAACTCTCCAAATTTCCAAATAAAATAGAGCAACTTAGAAAACTTTCCCCAAAACATTGTAGCATTGCAGACTTCGCATTGTGCTGGCAATAGATAGGAAAATTGCAGAGTCTGTATGTATTCTTCCGACACGCACAGCCAGCAGAGCTTGATCATCAAGCATATCATTCTAACCGTGACTACTTCAGATCATGTTTTTGCTGCTGCTTCAGAAATATCCTTCTAACATGTGCTTACAAAAGCATTTTCCTTGAAATAAAGGCATATTCAGTTCACTCACACATTTAATATCTACAGTCTATAGATGTGTTTAGTTCAGGCTCTTTTTTTTTTTTCATTCTATGCATCTTTTTAGGAAGCATAAAGTTATTTCTTCAGTTAGCTCCTTCTGCCTTTTATGACAAAAGTTTTGAAACCAGGGCACATTGTCCAGTCTCCTCAGTGTGTCCAACAACGTCTGAGGGTTGACTGTATTGAGGACCCGCTCACAGCTTTCCAGAGTACCCTGGGGTCCAACCTGATGCTTCACAACCCTCTCCTGTACTTAGTTGAGCTTTCACAGCTGTTTGATCTGTCTGGAAAACACTTCATACACAAACTTACTTAATTTTTGTAACAGGATGAGGGAAGTATTTTCACATTTGGATGAAGAGGTTGCAAAGAATGAGTATATTTGCCTTTAAAAGAACACACTGATGTTGGGAAGTCTGGTTCCAAAAATTCCCCCGAGTCCTCTGAGCCATTGCTTTGGATAGTTTGGTTGGGGTTTTAAAGATTAGTTTATAATAAGCAAGTCTGTAGGGGATTTTGAGTTTTTCACTTCAAATGATTATGAATAGTTCTCTAAGGCCATATTTTGGTGCAGATGTGAGACTGTCCAGATTTGCTAGTAAGCTGTTGAGCAGGGCTGCCTGTATTTCAATGTCAGCTTCACTGTCAACTAGCTGATAAAGTACTTGTTGCCTCCTAGCTTAAAAGCACCTAATAAAAGTTTAGCTGTGCTATTGCTTTTTTTGGCATTTGAAAGGCTACTTTTTTGTCAGCCTTGTATTTCCTTAGAATATATCATCTGCATACTGGATTTGTTTACCTTCAAAGATGTTGGGTTGTTTATTATTCATGTATGTATTGACAAAATAACATGGATAAAAATTTTTGGTGATTTGGTAAGACCTGAATTTTTTTTTTTTAAAGTTCATTCAAATAGCTTTCCATAAGCTAATTTGTTTTTTTGTTTTTGTTTTTTATGTGTGTGTGTGTGTGTGTTTTAAAGATTTATTTATTTATTTATTGGAAAGTCAGATATACAGAGAGGAGGAGAGACAGAGAGGAAGATCTTCTGTTCGATGATTCACTCCCCAAGTGAGCGCAACTGCTGGAGCTGAGCCAGTCTGAAGCCAGGAGCCTCCTCCAGGTCTCCCATGTGGGTGCAGGGTCCCAAAGCTTTGGGCGGTCCTGGACTGCTTTCCCAGGCCACAGGCAGGGAGCTGGATGGGAAGTAGAGCAGCTGGGACTAGAACCGGTGCCATTCAAAGCAAGGACTTCAGCCACTAGGCCACGCCGCCGGGCCCTCCATAAGCTAATTTGTTAAATTTAATATTGTTCTCATTCTCCCTTTGTAGTAATAACTCATGATATGTATATAGTAAGTGATATATTTAGGATGATGGTTTTCTTAGTATAAAACAACTTCCTGACTTTCCTCTGAATTGCTGTGTTTAGATCACAAGGTTTACATCTGGCACAAACGTAGTGAACTGCCCATTGCAGAGCTGACAGGACACACGCGTACAGTAAACTGTGTGAGCTGGAACCCACAGATTCCATCCATGATGGCCAGCGCCTCAGATGACGGCACTGTTAGAATATGGGGACCAGCACCTTTTCTAGACCACCAGAATATTGAAGGTAAGACTGCTGTACCCTGTGTTCCCCAGTGAAACATTACTCTGCTTGCTGTGAAGTTGTAACATTTTCAGATAGTAATTTAGAGTATAGGATATAAATTATTTTCCTCTCATTTTTAGACTTTACACTGTCTGACCCTAGAAAAGAGATTTAACGAATGATCTGAAAGTTTTTGTTTTTGTGTGGAAGCAAGGTGGTGTAAGAGAATAAAATGAAAAGTACCACCCCATTAATAACCATACAGTGCATTTATAAGATGTAATTGAAAGTATCACTTCCTTATGCTGCCTGTTGTAATACTGCACTCAATGAATGCGTTTAATATACATGGGGACTAGCCAGTATACCCTGGGAACACCTCCCCGAGGTTGTTAATGCCTGTGATTATGCATTTCACAGTTGAAAAGAGGTATTTTTAATGCGAGTTAGTGTACCAACTTTAGTCACACTTGATTAATAGAGAAAGGAATTAAAACTAAAATTTACCATATTAATTACGTGATGGACTCCTTTTATGGAATCTTACTTAAAATATTCCTAGTCCTCAGCACTAGTTATATCCTTGTTCCCAGAGGTAAGGCAACTAAGCATGGCAGGAGCCAGCAGCTTGTTGGGTGCTGCCAGGTCTTCTAGGTCCGAAAAGTGTTTTCCACAGCTTTGAGATTCTTAGAAATCACAAAATCCCAAAGTAAGATTAAGGACAAAATTTAAGGACAAAAAATCAGTGGAATGCGATATCCATGCTAGAGAGAAGAGGTAATAAGAAATTTTATGTTGATGACTTATCTCTTTTCCAAATAGAGCTAGTAAAATGTTTTATTTGGCTTAAAGCAAAAGAATTTACCTAGAAACTTGTTTTTTGTTAAGTGTCTCACAGATGTTTTATAAGAAAGATGACTAACCATCCATGGTTAAGTGATTCTCCTTGTAGGAGTCACAGTGACTTGCTATCAAACAGCATGATTGGTTTGAAAGAGAATTCTCCTCAACTCTTGTCTTTTTGTCACGTGGCCCTGCCCATGGCTTCACCAGATCTGGCTGGCAGGCTAGGCTATGAGGATGTGCAACTTGAGCTGAGAGGAAAACTCATGAAACATAACACAGAGCCCATGGCCATGGGATGTGCTCTCGGCTGCTCAGCCAGCTCCTGTGGGTCCCCACTGTGTAGCAGACAAAGCTGAGGTCCTCACTTGTTCTTGGTGTCACCTTTAGACTTCAAGACCAATTCTCTGAGTTTTTTGTTTATTTTTATTGGAAAGTCATATATAGAGAGGAGGAGAGAAAGAAAGATCTTCCATCCGCTGATTCACTCCCCAAGCAGCCGCAGGAGCCAGAGCTAAACCAATCTAGAGCAAGAAGCCAGAAGCTTCCTCAGGTCTCCCACGTGGGTGCAGGATCCAAAGGCTTTGGACCGTCCTTGACTGCTTTCCAGGCCACAGGCAGGGAGCTGAATGGGAAGTGGGGCAGCCAGGATAAGGACCATTGCCCATATGGGATCCCAGGGTGTACAAGGCGAAGATTTTACCTAATAGGCTACCATGCCAGGCCCCAAGAGATTGATTTTTCCATCTGCTGGTTCACTCCAAATGGGGTTAATCCAGACAAAAACAAGGGTGACTCAAGGCACATGGGCAATCTATCATTTGTTGCTTTCCCAAACACATCTGCAGGAGCTGTAACAGATGGGATGACCACATTGATATTGTAGGCTTAAGCCTCTGTAGCTATGATGATTCGATGATTTGTCCTTTTCTTTTTTCTTTCCTTTTTTTTTTTTAATTTATTTTTATTGTAAAGGCGAATATACAAAGAGGAGGAGAGAGGAAGATCTTCCATCCAATGGTTCACTCCCCAAGTGACCACAATGGCTGGAGCTGAGCCAATCCAAAGCCAGGATCCAGGAACTCTTCCTGGTCTCCCATGTGAGTGCAGGATCCCAAAGCTTTGGACCGTCCTCGAATGCTTTCCCAGGCCACAAGCAGGGAGCTGGATGGGAAGCGGGGCCGCCGGGATTAGAACCAGTGCCCATATGGGATCCCAGTGCGTGCAAGGCAAGGACCTTAAGCACTATGATATCACGCTGGGCCCGATTTGTGCTTTTCTAATTCTGTTAATAATTTGGAAGCTGTTTCTTCACAAGATCTAATTTGAAGAAGTAGAAAAAATACTAGGTCAGGAGTTGCAGATGTACTCCACAAGAGAAAGTGTTTATTTCTCCACTATAGGAGAACGAGGCACACTGCAATTTAGTGTGCTGATCAATATGGATACTCTCTTTTCTGAGCAAGTACATTTTAACACAGTTACAAGATCTGGATCCAGGTCCAGTGAGGTAACTAAGCAACCAAAGTCCTCACCTTGAACGCACGGGGATCCCATATGGGTGCCTGTTCTAATCCAAGCAGCCACACTTCGCATCCAGCTCCCTGCCTGTGGCCTAGGAAAGCAGTCGAGGATGGCCCACAGCCTTGGGACCCTGCACCCACATGAGAGACCCAAAGGAGGTTCCTGGCTTCGGTTTGGTGCAACAGTGGCCATAGCAGTCACTTGGGGTGTGAATCATGGTGTGGAAGATCTTCCTCTCCGTCTCTCTTCCTCTCTCATATCTGACTTTGCAACAAAAATAAATAATTCTTAAATAAATAAAATAATTTGTTGACCCTTATTATAGTAGTAGGATTAACAAACTTGTTTTTTTTTTCTATTGTAGGACTTTGTTTTTGTTTTTGCTTTTTGATTTTTATTGGAAAGTCAGATTTATAGAGGGAAGGAGAGACAGAGAGATAAGATCTTCCATCCACTGATTTACTCCCAACGTGGCCACAACGGCCAAAGCTGAGCCAATATAAATTTTTGAGAGCTGCAAAGCTATTTGCTGCTAAGTGCTTTTCAGTAGAAATCAGAGGAAATACTGATAGCATGGGTTTTCCTGGAAAACAGCACACTTCAGGCAGATGCAAAAGACCCCATGTTGTAATTCTAATTATAAAGAAAAGGCCTAAGGCAGTAAATCCCATAGCTTGAAAATAGACTGATTTCTAGATCTGAGGTTAGGATTTGTGTGTAAGTCTACTGTAGTGTGGTCTAGCAGCTAAAGTCCTCGCCTTGAATGCACGGGGATCCCATATGAGCGCCGGTTCTAATCCCGGCAGCTCCACTTCCCATCCAGCTCCCTGCTTGTAGCCTGGGAAAGCAGTCGAGGATGGCCCAATGCTTTGGGACCCTGCACCAGCATGGGAGACCTGGAGGATCTCCTGGCTCCGGGATCCTGCTTCTGATCAGTGCAGCACTGGCCATTGCAGCCACTTGGGGAGTGAATCATCGAATGGAAGATCTTCCTCTCTCCTCCTCTTTGTATATCTGACTTTGCAATGAAAATAAATAAATCTTTAAAAAAAAAAAAGGATTTGTGTGTATACTAATAGATGATTAAAATGTTTTAAAATTCATTGTTAGTAGTTTTTCAGTGCTACAAACTATTTTGTGTTTTACATGGATGTATTAGGTAATATGCAAAATATGTCCCAGTAAAACTGTTAATACCATAAGTACCCAAAAGGGAGAAATATTTCTCTATTCAGCATTACTTACTCTAAGGTTAATTTAAGGATGAGACGCTTAATGTGATTGTTCACTTGGTTCCCAGTGTTCAGAAGTTTGACTCCTTAGCCTAAGAAGTGACCAATACATTGTTTATTGGCTATGTTATGAAAGAATTAAAAATTTGCTCTGAATTAATTGTATTTTAATGCCACTTTGTTTTGTAATATGAGTCTAATTTTGAAATTTTCTAACTGGTGATTTTTTCTCTCTCCCCCTTCTTCCTCTTCTCTCCTGTATGTCGCTTCATCTTCATTCAGAGGAATGCAGTAGCATGGATAGTTGATGGCGAATTTGGAGCAGACGACTTCTGTTTAACTTAAAATTAGTCGTATTTTAATGGCTTGGGATTTGGTGCAAACAGACATGATTGATAGCTGGACAGACATGCTCGTCATGAAAAAAGAACCATTTCTGAAGCCCGATTGGGGCCAAACATTTACACCTTGCTTCATAGTAACCAGTTGATGAAGCGCCTCATTAGAACGTTGTTGGACACCATGTTGAATTATCCCCCGTCGGTTGTGAAGAACTGTGCTACATTCAGGCTTACCCATTGAACTCAGTATATATATTTTTTTCCCTCCTGCCTTTTGTCTGGCAGGATACCATTCTTGTTGCTCTTCTGTGTAATGAAGTTTAAATGCTTGTTTGGAAAACTTTATTTAACAGTTTAGAAGGCTTGATAGGAAGAGTGCATTAGTCTGAAGAGTATACATTGGATAGGAAAGAATTTCCTTTTGTTTCTCCAAATCTTTCCGCCTTATTTAGCTTGAGATCTTTGCAGCTTGGTTCATGGATTCTAGCCTTGCCCGTTGCGCAGTATATACTGACCCAGAAGATAACCAGTGAACTATGTCAAAAGCACTCTCAATATCACATTTGACAAAAAGTTTTGTACTTTTCACATAGCTTGTTGCCCCATAAAAAGGGTTAACGGCACAATTTTTTAAAAATAAATTAAGAAGTATTTATAGGATTAAAGTGACTTCATTTGTATACATTTGGAATCTAAACCAGCTTAAAAACAGTTTCCTCTGTGACTTAGATACGCAGTGTGACTGATACTTCATGAGACACATGAAACAGTGCTTGGAGGGAGGGACACTGCACAGGAAACTAATACTTTGGCGGCTTCCCCCTTTTGCTTCATTCTTGAAAGAACATCAGTACACCAACTTCAAGAAATTCAAGATTTAAAAAGAAAAATATGCCAACATGAGAGATCAGTAGTGAGTTTAGGTTTTTAACAAAACTTACTCCAAGTTGTTCTCAGCTTGGAAGGTAATTTTGGTGTGATCTAGCAGGTATAGATGTAACCAGTTTGGCAGTTTATAATATAACTGAAGTTAGAATATTTAGCAGGTTCCAAACATACTTAAACTGAGATTCAAACCTCATACTCATTTCTCTTAATTTGCAATAGGAAACATAAATGTAAAGAATATTCCTTTACAGTTTTTTGATATTGCCATACAGAACCTCGTTCTAAACTGGTGCTGTGGATACTCTCCCTCTGTCCTCCCTTTTTGGTATAAGGAAAGGTTCCTTCAAGGAAAAACACTTTTAATTTTCAATAATTTAACTTAATGGGAGCCCACAGCCTGATGTTTGCATTGTATTGAGACCCCATTGCAGCTGAGTACCACCTCCTTTGTTTGCCTTGAAATTCCGTCCCTTTTTCAGTAGAGGACGGGGCTGGGAGGTAGCAGCTGTTATGTTGGCAGAAAGGGTTGGGGATGCCCCAAAATCAGATTCTAATGAAGAAAAATTCCTGTACTAAATTTCCTTTACACCTTGCCAAGTCTATAGTATGTCATTACTGTGACTAGACTCCTTGGCGATCCACACAGAAATGAAAGGTTTGGATGTCAGTAACTCTTTGCTTTGAAAGGGGAGGAAATAGTAACAGAAAAAAAGGGGGTGATCAGGGAAGGGGAGAAGAAGGAAAAACACATTTGGCCTTAAAATAGCATGTATTCTCCCAAAAACCCGTAGTAGGAGAAGATTACAGATCGAGATTGGCAGATTATTTTACACTTGATCTTAGCCAAAAGGCCGAGAAGCGATGGCAGATTATTTTATCAAATTGGTGTATAATATGGTTTCTTTAAGCTCCATTTTGCAGACCATCACTTAGAGAATCAAGGAATTCCTGTTTTGATACTTCTAAGGTTTAAAGAAAAAAAAAATGTTACCGTTTATCTGGTACTTCATTTTTCTTAAGTTACTTTTTACTTTAAGCTTGAATAAAAAAATCTTCATTGGTAACCGTCTATAATTTATAATTAAGTGACAACTTCTCTTTACCTCAGTACTGCTAAACCATATTGAGGTGTGGTTCATCCATGCCTTGAAGCCGATGATATATCCCAGTCTCGACAGTACCATCACTTAAAACAGAAGGTTGGCCTAGAAACTCCACCGCAGTTTACACCTGGTTTATAGGGGGCCATGGTACAGCTGTAACATGTGTGTCCATTGAGGGGCAATTTGGCACTCAGAATCTACCACTTCAACCCAGCCACCCTAGAGCTGAGTTCTCAGAGTGCTTCTTGAAGTGCAGTTGGAAGCACTTTTAAAAAGTGGAATAATGAGGTACATTTTACAAAAACATAGCTCCTGTGAAAACAGCAATAACTATGCAAAGGATTCTATAGCAGCTAGGCGAATTTGTTTCCCAGATTTGTCTTAACTGGCAACTTCCAACATACACTGGTATTTGGCTGTGCCAATTTGCTGTACATGTCTATTTCATACATTTGCCATGCAGTGACTGTGCTGGAAAGGGGAAATGTGAGGAAACTAGGATTTATGATTGAGAATCTGATGGCGGGGTATTCTGATGTCTGGTAGTGTTATAGATGAATAGCTGAGGTCTGAGAATACTGCGAGCAGCCACAAGATACTAACATGCAGAGAATGAAAAGTACCAATACTTTTTGCACATAGAATCAAAACAGTGGAGAATTTGGGCTCCAAAAATCAGGTTAGTAGGCTCATTTTCCATGTGCTTAAAAGTGTTTTTGTTATGTACTAAAGGTTAAGGCAAGTATGAAATTAAATGTCTTTTTCCTCCAAGTTGTTGGTTATCAGTGGTTAAATGTTGGCTTGGGTAATTACTGAGATTGGTGTATGGGTGTCAATAAAGATTCAGAGTAGCTGTTAGTTGGGAGGAATGAGGAAACCTTAGTTTTGATTTTATTAGTATTTGTACTAGTTGCTTTTTTTTTTTTCTCTCAACTGATCATGCCATATGTTACATAAAACCAGGTAAGTAGTTTAAATAGAGGGAACTATTTGCAAATGTCCTCTTAAAATTAGCCCATTTTATTGGGTGGGAGAACAGAAAGGAAGTCCCTAACTTGAAAATAACCTCCTAGCTAAAAGGATGAGTCCAATTTTTTTTTTTAATCTGAAAGAACACAAGTGAGTAATGTGAATTTTATTATTAGACATGTTCTGCCTCTGGAGTGGCATCCATGACATTAATAGAAAATCCTTGCCTACCCCTCCCCATCTTGAAATTTTCTCTTTTAGGATGTTGTTTCCTGCAGACAAGAACTGACCCTATCACCACCTCTGCCTCACAGTGGGTAAATATATCCTACATCTCTTGAAAGGGAAAGTATTCATGTCAGTTTCTTTCACAGCAGAAGAATAGCTCTTTTGAGTGGGGAGGAAATAAGACATTTTTCTTACTATCCTTTTTGTCCCATCTCTAAGATGTTTAAATACTATGATGCAGTTTTACTTTAGTTTCTCACCTAGATTTTAATAGCTCTTTTGGTTGCCCTCCAGAACATTAGTTCCATTTCCGAAACCGTATCTGATTGGATAGAAACTGCTAACTTTAAAAGGTGAATTTGCATTTCCATTTATTAGACATTTTCAAAAAACAGGGCTAACAATTAAAATTTCTTAGTGTTATTGAGCTATTGTTACAGTAGCCACCCCATAATTACAAAAGCAAATATCAAAAACACCCATCCCTGTCTACTTAATCCAGATAGCCTGGATAAATTAGTAAAACCTAACTATAAAAATGGGTGGTATGTGTGTGGGAAGTGCATACTTAATACATGTAAAGTCCTGAGAACAACTGTTCTAGGTTTTACTTAGTCTTGTGCACATGTAAAGTGCCCTCCCTGCGTTGGCTTGCTTAAAACTGACATATTTTTATAAGATTTGTGTCCCTATCTTTAACTTAAAACATTTTTCATTATCAGAGTTAATGTACTAAAACTGTTCATAACACTTTTAGGCACAGAAGGAAAAAAAATCTTGCTGGCTCTTTGAAAATGTGTGTGGGGGTGTGTGTGTGTGTGTGTCTGTCTGTCTGTGTGGTGAGGGAAATAGGACCACAAAAGCAAGGATGTGCTTACAAACCAAGCTGTAGAGATCAAGAAAAGAACTGAAGTGTTGATCTCAAGATTTCTAAATTGTCAACTTACATGGTATTGTGGTGGAACTAGTTAACTAGTTTTTTTTTTTGGTATATAATAACAAATTGCTATGGACTGATTAAATGTTTTAAAGGATTGTGTTCTTAAATTTTGGGGTTTTGTTTCTTAACTGCCTCTCAGATTATATTTAGTCATTTAAATTTCTTTATTAAAGTATATAAGTTTCAAGTGTCTGATATTTATTTTCATTTGTTCTCAATTATCTACAGAACATCCTTTGTTGCCTTTCATTTTATAAACATGTAGAATATTAAACTAAACATCTTAAATCTAATTGCAACAGTAACTTTGATTTCCTTTACTGGGATTTTTTTTTAATACACTTTCCATGTCAGCGCACAGCATTCAACCAGTCATTTGTATTTCCTTTCTTCAATCCAATAAACAGAATAAGTTGTTGATGTGCTGTCTCTCCTAATATCCATTAATCTGAGTGTTTATTTAAAAATACTGCCTTTACCTAACCCTGGTGGGCTGATTCTCATTTTGATTTCTTTACCTGGACTTTGTGAATGTTGTCAAAGAAACAGTGTTCAAGCCTGCTCGGTTTGCCATCATGGATAAATTGCTTAGTTTAAGATTTATTTTTATTAAAAAGGCAGGTGTACAGAGAGGAGGGACAGAAAGATCTTCCATCCACTGGTTCACTCCCCATGTGGCCACAATGTCCAGAACTGAACCGATTCAAAATGAGGAACCAGGAGCTTTTTCCAGGTCTCCCACATGGGTACATGGTCCCAAAGGAGCTGAATGGGAAATGGAGCAGTCAGAACTTGAACCAGTGGCCACATGCAAGGCGCTACCATACCAGGCCCCACTTTGTGTTAGATTTATAAGTCTACTTTTAACTGGGGGGAAAAAAAGGCTTATTTATATAGAGACATAATGGTAAGTAATTAATGAAACAATACAATTATACCAGCTTCCTTCCTCCATTTATCAGTCATCAGAAGCTAATTCGTATCAGAGTCTGTAAGATTGTTCTAATGACCAACAAACTAACAACACATCTAAGTTACTGCTCACGGCTCCTGCTACAGAATAGTGACTCAAAAATGGCAATTACTTTTGTTCATATTAACCCCATTTTGCATGAAAAATATCAAAGAAAAATGCTTTATTTTTGTATACAGCTTTGTCCTGTTGATGTCACAGAGCTGTAAGAAGGGAATGCTCACAGAAAATTTGATGATTCTAAAAACCAAATCTGTATGGCAGGAAAAATGTAATTCTGGTTTGAAATTGAAATATATAACAAATAGACATACAATTTCCTAAAGATTTCCTTCGGGAGAACCATGTATTTGATATAGCACACAACACAGCAGTGTAGCTGCCTGGATCCCGTATCTGATTACCTGGCATGGAGTCCCTGCTGCAGTTCGTCTTCCTGTAGCACATTGAGAAGCAGCAGGTGGAGGCTCGGGCATTCCTGTAGGAAACCCAGATGCAGTTCTGGACTCCTGGCTCCTGTCTAGCCCCAGCCCCACCTGATGTAGCATTCGGAGAAGTGAACCAACAGTTGGAACATAGGTTTTTCAAAAAGATAACATTAAAGCTGTGCCCATGCTACAGCATGGTGCATTAAGATGCTGCCTGGTGTAATTTTTGAGACCCAGCTCCCTGCCTGGGAAAGCAGAGTAAATGGCCTCTTGGGACCCTGCACCAACATGGGAGACCTGGGAGAAGTTTCTGTCTCCTAGCTTGGACCAGCCCAGTTCCAGCTGCTGTAGTCGTTTGAGAAGTGAACCAGGAAATGGAAGTCTGTGGGATGCCAGCGTTGCATATGGAGGTTTAACCAACTGCGTGATGCAGACCCCTGGAATGTTTAAGGTGCATTAGAAATTTTATTAATCTCTTGTACATTTTTTAAAACAGCTGGGGGGGGATTGAGGGGGGAGACTGGTAATTTGTATTAAAGTGAAATACCCATGGATTTTTTTTTTTAAGATTTACTTTGATTGAAAAGTCAGATATACAGAGAGGAGGAGAGAAAGACCTTTTGTCCGATGATTCACTCCCCAAGCGGCCACAATGGCCAGTGCTATGCCAGTCCAAAGCCAGGAGCTTCTTCCAGGTCTCCCTCACGGGTGCAGGGTCCCAAAGCTTTGGGCCTTCCTCAACGGCTTCCCAGGCCACAAGCAGGGAGCTGGATGGGAAGTGGAGCTGCTGGGATTAGAACCGACACCCATATGGGATCCTGGCGCATTCAAGGTTAGGACTTTAGCTGCTAGGCCACGCCGCTGGGCCCTCATGGATGTTTTTCTAAAACAAATTCTCTTCCAGTTAAGCAAAAGTAATATTCATAGCTGGTTACATTGTTTAATAACATCTTAAGACTGATTTATTTAAAAGGCAGAGCAATAGATTTTCTATCCACTGGTTCACTCAGAAGGCTACCAAGCCAGGTGTAGGCCAGAAGGCAGAAACCATCCCAGGCTACCATGTGATTGATGGGAACCAGAGTAACTTGGGTTATTTTTAAGTTGTCTACCCAAGGAGCAACTGGCACTCAAAGTACCCCTCCCTTTTTTTTTTTTACTTTGTTTTTATCAGAAAGATTTACAACGAGATGGATCTTCAATCCAGTGGTTAACTCCCCAAATGGCCATAACAACTGAACATGAGTCAATCCAAACGGCAGGAGCTTCTTCCGGGTCTCCCACGCGGGTGCAGGGTCCCAAGGCTTTGGGCCGTCCTCAGCTGCTTTCCCAGGCCACAAGCAGGGAGCTGGAAGGGAAGTGGGGCAACCAGGACGTGAACTGGTGCACATGTAAGATCCCAGTGGATGTAAGGTGAGGACTTAGCCACCAGACTATAGCACCAGGCCTTGTAACTTTTTCAAACAAAAAATGTGATTGGGGCAGACCAGGCCAGGCATGGCTACAATATCTATCGGCCTGCATGTGAACTGGATCGGGAAAAACCAGGCTGGGCTGACTTGCTACTGCTGTATGCATATGCCATAGTGGGTGTGGGTAGATTGGGCTTTGCCTCAGCATCAACTGGCAGGTGCTGGCACAGGGGGCAAAGCCTGTCAAGTCACACTGCAAAATCACCTGGACAGTGAAAGATTCAGGAGTGGGAATTGGCCCATTAGGAAAATGATGGGCATGTCCCTCTTGAGTTGCCACTCCTACTGGTGATGAGAACCAGGACTGGGCAGGCATGGCTATAGAGAGAGTGGTACCCACTGGCACCAGTGTGGACAGCATAGTGGGGCTGGTTAGGTTGAACTACGCTTCAATGCCCATTGACATATGTTAGAGCTAAATGGGATGTGGGACAGACTGAAAAAGTCTGCTGTACATACTGGCATGCATGGGAACCAGGGTAGGGGGCAGGCCTGGTGGGAGGTTATGGGGAGTCACCCCAACTAGGCTGCAGCTCCCACTGGTCTACGTGAAGGCCAAGTATGAAGTGGGCAGGATTGGGCTGGACTGTAACACCCATCGGTTTGTGTGGAAGATAGGGCTGGAAACAGAACTGACCCAGCAATTGCAACCACCAGCATATACATAAGCTGATTGGGGCAACGGACTGTGCAGGAACCTGTACTAGCAAGCACACACAAGAATCAGGTCTGGGATCACCTCAGACAAAGTTTCCTTAGGGATCCTTCCAATTGAACTGCTGGACTCAGAACTCCAACCATGGAGATAATTGCAGTTTCCATGATCTGACCATGGCGTGCCTGTGTCAGAGCTGGACCTCCTCATTGGCTTAGAGCAGTGGACAGCAAAACCAGGTGCACATGGAGGATATGGCCATACACTGGAACCTGCAGAGGACACCTGATACCATAACAGAGGATGGAGGAAAGAACAAATCAATCATCTACCCCAGCCACGTGTTAGCAGTGAAAATCTGGGCAAACAGAGACTCTAAGGTAGACTATGTCAGCCAGTGGATTCTGGAAAGATTTCATCATAATTGGAATGGTGAGACCAACAGCAATTCAGAACTGTTGAACTATCAAAAACACTTGAGCGGGCCCAGCGCGGTGGCACAGTGGTTAAAGGTCCTCGCCTTGCACGCCCGGGATCCCATATGGGCGCCGGTTCTAGTCCCAGCAGCCCCGCTTCCCATCCAGCTCCCTGCCTGTGGCCCGGGAAGGGAGTCAAGGACAGCCCAAAGCTTTGGGACCCTGCACCCGCATGGGAGACCCGGAAGAGGCTCCTGGCTTTGGATCGGCATAGCATCAGCCGTTGTACTCACTTGGGGAGTGAATCATCAGATGGAAGATCTTCCTTTCTGTCTCTCCTCTCTGTATATCCGCCTTTCCAATAAAAAAGAATAAAAATAAATCTTAAAAAGAAAACACTTGGGCCCGGCGCGGTGGCGCAAGTGGTTAAAGGTCCTCGCCTTGCACGCCCGGGATCCCATATGGGCGCCGGTTCTAATCCCGGCAGCCCCGCTTCCCTTCCAGCTCCCTGCCTGTGGCCTGGGAAAGCAGTCGAGGACGGCCCAAAAAGCTTTGGGAACCTGCACCCGCGTGGGAGACCCGGAAGAGGCTCCTGGCTTCGGATCGGCATAGTATCGGCCCGTTGAGCTCACTTGGGGAGTGAATCATCGGACGGAAGATCTTCCTCTCTGTCTCTCCTCTCTGTATATCCGCCTTTCCAATGAAAAAATAATAAAAATAAATCTTTAAAAAAAAAAAAAGAAAACACTTGAGCAGGACCCTCAGAGCATACCCCACATTGGAGACCCTGGGATTGTTGGGGCCCTGGGTATGATTTCTCCCTTTTATCTCACCCCTCCCCCAGAAAAGGGAAGGAAAAAAGAGAATGTGGAAACATTGTCTCACCCAGTTTCTTCTAACCCTTGTTCCTTCACACCCTAATCAACTATGTAAAAAGACAATAAATAGTTAAAGAAGCTAAAAAAAATAAATTTGGATAGATACTGCAAAGAATTAGCTTCATCCCATAGACCTTGATGGGTTATAGTGGCAGCCAAGAGTGTGGCTTTTAATGGAGTCATCAAGTTCAACTGTCACCCAATTTGCTTCCAGGTTGCAAAACAGGATACAAACAAGTCATGAGATGTCAGGCACAAAAGCCACTTCTCAGCCAACTTCATTCCATGTTACATCCTCCCCTCCCTGAGAGAATATACATTCAAGTTAACTGAGTTATGAAAATGAACAAAGAAATGATTCGAGCTCCTTCTAGTTGCCAGCCACTTGTCCCCAAGATTGCATGTTTTGAAATAGCAAATACAGGATGAGGTGAGGTTTACTGGGTCAAAAACAAAATGGAGATTTGATCAAGCCCAGGGTTCTTAGGGACTAACCAGAAATGCGGTGGCTGAGGGATGCCTTTGAATATATGGTCCACAAGGTACTCTATTACAAAACAGTATACTGAGTATTGGCTAAGCTCACAATTCAACTAGGTTCTAATGTTTCATGGAAACTGGTAAAAATGAAACTGTTTGCTCCACAACAAATGTAGCAAACCAGATACAACAGAGGAAGTCAGAATCAAGCCTCAGCGTCCAGCTACCTGGTTAGTTGGTTAACAATCTGCCCACCCACCCATTCAAAGGGAAGTGAGTGAAAGGCAACCCTTGCTGCAGAACGCCCTTGAGCCAATGACCTGAACACAGCAACAAGTTACTTGCATGAACAATCCCTTGGGCCTGTCCACACTAGGATTATAACTGACTGCAATTAAGAAATGATAACCTTAAGGCTTTCAATGGCTTGCCACTGGATTTTATTTAAAGCAAAAACTGTCTCAACTTTTAGGATATTTGTTTTTTCAAAAAAAAGAGCATGGCTCAAATCTGCTGGCTTCACTCATAAACCTTGAGCAAGCTGGTATAGTATTTCCCTCAACAGTTTTGTTAACTCAGGTTTCACAACACCAACAATATTTCGAACTATTGTACCACATAGCAAAATTACGGCTAGCTTAAACCCAGGTGACAGAGATTTGGACTGGCAAAGAATCTCAAACATCTTTATCCTGCTGCTATTTTTCATTATTAAAATGTGGCTGGCATCGTGATGTAATGCATTGAGCCACTGCTTGCAATACTGTAGGAGTCCTGGTTTGTATCCTGAATGCTCCATTTCCAATCCAGTTCTCTGGGAAAGCAGTAGCAGATGATGCAAGTGCCCCTCCACATGCCACCCACACGTGAGCCCGCTGCAGCTCCCGGCTCCTGGCTTCAGCCAGACCCGGCCCTGGCAGCTATAGCCATCCGGGATGTCCTTACCTCTGCCACTACCTTTCTTTTGGTATCTCTAACTTTGAAACAAATACATGCTTTATTTTAAAATTATTTTAGATGATGTTTACCAAGTTCATTAGGGTGGGAAAGATTTATGGTTAGGGTAGAGTGGGCAATAAATACAATTCTTTTTAAAAGTTTCAATTTGGGGGACAGTGATAGGATGTAGTAAGTTAAGCCTTTGCCTTGCATGCCAGCATCCCATATGGGTGCCAATTCAAGCCCTTGCTGTTGGAAGCAGTGAAAGATGGCCTAAATCCTTGGGTCCTTGCACCCATGTGGGGAGAGCTGGAAGAAGTTCCAGGCTCCTGGCTTCAGATCAACCCAGTTATTGCCATTGTGGGCCATCTGGGGAGTGAACAAGCAAGTAGAAAATCTGTCTCAAACCTGGTGTGATAGCCTAGCTAGATCCTTGCCTTGCATGTGCTGGGCTCCCGGCTTTGCACTGGCTCAGCTCTGGTCATTGTGGCCACTTGGAGAGTGAATCAGCAGACAGAAGATTTTTCTGTCTCTCCTTCCCTCTGTAAATCTACCTTTCCAATAAAAGAAATCTTGAAGTTTACATTTTTAGGACAACTAATTGCACTTAGTATATATGTTTCAACCAGAATTACTTCTAAAATAATGCTTCTGCTGACTTCACAGTGTAAAATGGACCAAACATAGTTACCTCTCCTAGCTGGCATACTTTTAGAATCTCATAGTATCTGCCCTGGTAACAAGGATGCTGAGTTTGATTATGTTGCTCCATTGCTTCTTACTCCTCTGACTTAAAGGATATCAGACTTCTGGCTGAAAGAGCAATAGAACAACACAATCAGATTTAGTTGGTTAACAATCATTTATTATTTCTGTGTGCAAGGCACTGTGTTAGGTGCCAGGAGAAGGAAAACACAAATACAAACACGTGGCACTCTGTCCCCCAGGGACGTACAATCTAGAAGATGAACTAGACAAATAACTACAATATCAGTTAGAAAGTGGTAAGTACCACAGAAAATAAAGTACTACAGGAAGTTTTTCTTAGCTCTCAACTTCAAGGTTAGACTAGGCCCGATGAGGCAGATTGGGCAACCTGTGTATGCACCCTGATAAGGCAAGTGACAGGGACCTGCTAGGAACTCATAATTGATCAAGTGAGCGGCCTCTCCCCAGTGATCAGCTAAGGGCACCTCCTAGCACTGAGCGGAAGGAACACAGCAAGGGAAAAGGACTTGACTCAGATTAAAAACATGCACACATGGGCCTGGCGGCGTGGCCTAGTGGCTAAGGTTCTCACCTTGAACGCGCCCCAGGATCTCATATGGGTGCCAGTTCTAATCCCGGCAGCTCCACTTCCCATCCAGCTCCCTGCTTGTGGCCTAGGAAAGCAGTTGAGGACAGCCCAATGCTTTGGGACCCTGCACTCATGTGGGAGACCCGGAAGAGGTTCCTGGATCCTGGCTTTGGATTGGTATAGCATCGGCCGTTGCGCTCACTTGGGAAGTGAATCATCGGATGAAAGATCTTCCTCTCTGTCTTTCTTCTTCTCTGTATATCCAGTAAAAAAAAAAAAAAAAAAAACATGCACACAGTTGCCATCATGGTGGTCTGTACTGACTGGGCCCTGGGTACCGCCTTCATAGAAGGTCAGGGGAAGAAGAGTGGCAAGGGACAGGACACTGAACTCAACATTAGGAACCAGAAAATCTCACAGTTCTTAAACCTCAGGCAATCGCTCTAGACCTCAGCTATCTCTAAGATGAAAACGTCTCTAATATCGCTTCAGTTAATTTAAAATAAAGTATATAAAATTAGCCTTGGGCACCACAGCTTTTTAAACATCAGTGCTTTCTCCTCCTTGTATACAAGGGCCCCTAAAATTAAAAAACAAATGAACAACAAAAACACAAACACCCAAGTGAACCCCCTGCCCTGTCCTGCCTTTGAGAGACAGCAGGACAAGGGAGGCTTTGTATTTTTACCCAGAATTGGTGCTTCAGAAGTACAGAGGTCCTGTCCTTTTTTATAAACCAGGTACTCTTCAGATTTGTTCAGCCTCAGCAACATAAGCCTGACAAAATATAAAATGACAAAGACTCTTGCAATTACATGGGTTTCTAGTAAGAAAACTTGAACAAAAAAGACATAACATTTTGGTCAAGATGTCTTCCGTTTCTTTGAAGGACCTGTCTCATCTCGAAGGTCTGAAGTTCTCCCGGAGCTCCACTGCTTTTCTGGCCTGAGCAGAATACTCAGAAAGGCCCGGCAGGCAGAGTGAGCAGGCTGCGTCTCCAACAGAAGGACCTCAGAAAAGTTAAGAAGATACACAAGTAAAACAGCATCTGTGCTACAGCTTCTTAGCCCCTGGCATGGCAAATACAAGACTGCCACAAGGGGCAGTTTTCATGACCCTCAAGGAAGCCAACAAAACCAAACTGACTCTGCCTGCGCCTTCACTCTTCCTTCCATGGGTGACCCCTGTACTATGTCCATTCTCAAAATGTAGGCTGTCTATTCAGGGAATTGAGCCTGGCAGTCTCCTTGCTTCTGCCAGAACCAGACCTAATCCAGGGCCCAAAGGACGTGCAAGCCCTTTAAACCACACACCTTGCTTACCCACCCAATGCTGACACACTTAAAATGAATAATCCACATTGGTCTCTGCCATAAAACACAGTCATGTTTTGCCTAAATGCCAGTGCTCAAGACAATAACGTTAAAATAGCCACTAGGACTGTGGATAAACTGCTAGGTTCACTTTACACTGCAAGGTTTGGCGAGCAGAACTCAAGTGCACCCAGTTGCAAATACTGCTAACTCCCAGGAACTGAGTTCTGATGGATACTGATATTTCCAATAAAGCGCTTATACCAAGACCCCGGATTCTGCACAGGATAAAGTAGCATGCTCAATTTCACTGACAGTAAGTGACTGATATTACTGCTTCTAATCTCAGCATCTGTGAAATCAACTCTCGAAACCCACTGCAGTATACATCAGAGAGGTCAAACACAGTTGGAGCAATCAAATACACAGCCGAACGGGTCTGGGTGATTACGGACGCAGTGGTTCAAATAAAGCTCTTGACAAAATCTTGCTTTTAAAATTTATTTTTCCTGTCTATAGACAGGAATTACACTCTACCTGGGCAAATGGCTTATAAGGTTTCACAAATTCTGCAAAAATATATATTTTGAAACGTCACATTGTTTTACCATTCTTGTGACAACACTTAGCTTACAGTACCAAAGATCTTTAAGCAATATGAAGCTGCCACAATGTAGGAAAAATCTGTAATTAACTTGATTCCATTGTCCAGATTACCTGTGCTGTTTTGTACGCCCACGTTTCAGTGGTCTTGAAAGTCAGCTTTGCTCACCAGTAAGTTTTCCCTGGGGGGTGTGGCCTTTATTTCTTTGGCATGCAAGACTGGGACTGCAGTCCTGGTAACACACATTTAACCATCTTCAACATACAAATAATGAAAGTCACCTTTCTGTTACGGTTCAGGCTGAAGTTGAGAACCAGAAATTTACAAAAACTCAATTCATACTTTTTAAATACTTTATATGGTAAAAATACAGCAAAAATAGTTTTTGTTCAAAGACGAAAATATATACTGCTATGGTCACGGTTCTCAGGATGATGTGAGCAGTCTCTGGCTCCTCGACTGTGCATTGTTGACTTCAACCACAGCCTCTCCAGCTTCAGTCATTTATCAAAGCTAAAATCATACTGCGGAGAGAAGAAATGAATGTTACTAATATTTCCTTGGTAATGATCCTACAGAATACGTCTGTCCAAGGTTCACCAAAAAACATGCATTGGTTAAAAAAAAAAAGACAGTGTTTTACATTTAAAAATAAAGAAAGTATCTCAAGGCTCAATTTCTTTTCTCTTTCCTAAAATAAAAAAGAGAGAGGGAAATAACTAGGGTCAGAGTGGAGGAGAACAACCTAGAGCTAATGCTGGACAATAGTTTAAACATCAGCTGTACCAGGGGCCCGGCGGCATGGTCTAGTGGCTAATGTCCTCGCCGTGAACGCAACCAGGATCCCATATGGGCACCGGTTCTAATCCCAGCAGCTCCAGCTCCCTGCTTGTGGCCTGGGAAAGCAATCGAGGACAGCCCAAAGCTTTGGGACCCTGCACCCGCGTGGAAGACCTGGAAGAGGTTCCTGGTTCCCGGCTTAGGATCAACACAACACTGGCCGTTGTGGTCACTTGGGGAGTGAATCATCGGATGGAAGATCTTCCTCTCTGTCTCTCCTCCTCTCTGTATATCTGACTTTGTACTAAAAATAAATCTTTTTTTAAAAAATTAGCTATACCCAGAAAAACAAACAGAAAGCAACCTTTAATTATCCGGTTAGAACTCAGGACTTGCTGCTATGATGAATTCCCTTTTCCTGGATCAAACTGCTTCCACCCCTCCCACCGAGGTGTCACACTGGGATCCTAGGGTAGCTTATTTGGAAAGCGGGCCTTTCACTTCAGGACAGTTGCTCAGTGTCCACCCTGCCTGCTCTAGCTCATGTGTGGGTCTCTACCACTGCACTGGGAGGGCTGGTGAGACTACAGCCGTCTAGGCTGCCCTGCTCTCGTGCTCAAGGTGAACACTGTTATAGTGCAATATGCAAGCTGCACACACCGTGAGGAATCTGGGCTGCCCCATGTATCACTGCCAGTGCCTTATCCAGTACCTGACACACAGCAGTCACCTAATAAGAACCATAAAAACTGCCACAGACAACACACAACAGTAACAAAACTACCCTTTGAACTGCTGTGATCTGACTCGCTCTGCTGCTATCAAATGATAGCTATGCAGAGAAATGCCATTATATTACCAATGGCACAAATGCTTAGTTGTCCAAATGTAGAGATACTAAATGTGTTTGTGCACAGCACAGATTAATGGCAGAAGCTAATATTTGGGCACTTTATATAAACCTAAATTCTTTACAAGCATTAAGATAGGCAATATTACAATTCTACAAGGGATGTTTTACTAATATCCCATTTTCTTCTTTCCTTTTTTTTAATTTTATTTTTATTGCAAAGTCAGATATATAGAGAGGAGGAGAGACAGAGAGGAAGATCTTCCATCCAATGAGTCACTCCCCAAGTGGTCATAACGGCCTGACGTGAGCAAAACCAAAACCAGGAACGTCTTCTGGGTCTCCCACACGGGTGCAGGGTCCCAAGGCTTTGGGCCGTCCTCAACTGCTTTCCCAGGCCACAAGCAGGGAGCTGGATGGGAAGTGGAGCTGCCGGGATCAGAACCAGCACCCATATGGGATTCCAGTGGATGCAAGGCAAGGACTTTAGCCACTAGGCCACTGCACTGCACACCCCCGCACACACTTTTTAGGCTTCATTTATCTACTTTGGCCAATTGGGGCGTTAACCAACAGATGGAAGCTCTTTCTCAGTCTTTCCCCCTTTCTGTAAATCTAATTTGCCTTCTTAATAAAAATGGATAAATAAAAAAAAAACTTTGATACAAGTTAAGCTTAATTTCTACCCTCTTAAAGTCTTAGTCAAGTCAGACACATATGAATTTTCTGCTCTAGTCTTTCCTTGATCAAGTTTACGAGTCTGTGATGGACATGCTAACACTACAACCAGAGGAATAAGCTCCAGTTTGCAACAGCACTAAGGAATGCCGACCCAATAACATGAATGAAAACATTTTATAAAGCCACAAAAACATTCTTGCAATCCCCCATAGTTCCAAAAGATCAATGCCTCACTCATCAAAAGCAGACCTGGTATCCAGAAGGCCAGAAATTCATCTATTTCCATTCTTTCTCTCAAATAAAAAAAAAAAATAAGATGACACTTACCTGTAAAGATACATAAAGAAACAGAGCAAGTGGAAGCCAAGCTTGATCATGGCTTCTTTCATGTGAGACTTCAGCTGCCCTCGATTGTGTATTTCTGTCGGATCAAACACTCCCATGTTACCACTTGGAACCATAATGAAACTGAGGAATTCAAGGAAACACAAATCAGAAGGAAGATAAAAGCAACAGAAATGATCAAAAGCAAGTAACCGATAAAAATGGACCTCTAACAATGACCTGATCACAGCGGCCTTGAATTCAGACCATCTGTGGACAGAACAATGCAATAATCCCTCTAACCATCATTTCCCTAAAGAAATACCACCACCTCTAATTTTCAGTGTAATTTTCTGCCCTCTGAAACGAATATAGTAACATCCTAGAAAATATTATTTTCTACATTGAGTTCTTTTAACCCCATCTCCTGGAAAACAAAGCAACACCAAATGAATCATGTCTACTGCTCTTTCATAAGGCACAGGTTAGAGGAGGCTCCAAACGCAAACCATCTAAAAGAAATCTTATTCTCTAATTTTCACAGTGAATACTTTTTAAAAATACATTTATTTATTTCATTGAAACAGAGTTACAGAGAAAAAGAATCCTATTCACAGGGTTACTCTCCAACTTGGCCAAAATGACCAGAACTGGTCTTATCCAGGAACCAGGAGCTTCTTCCAGTTCTCCCAACTGGGCTCAGAGGTCCAAGGACATGGGCCATCTTCTGCCTCCCAGGCACATTACCAATGAGCTCATCGAAGTGCAACAGCTGTGACTTGAACTGGTGCCCCTATGAGATACTTGTTACAGCACAGTGCTGGTTCCACAAACCAATTTTATAGAAATTATAAATTGTGGGCCCAGTGCAGTGGCCTAGTGGCTAAAGTCCTTGCCTTGCATCCACTGGAATCCCATATGGGTGCCTGTCCTAATTCTGGCAGCTCCACTTCCCATCCAGCTCCCTGCTTGTGGCCTGGGGAAGCAGTCAACGACGGCCCAAAGCCTTGGGACCCTGCACCTATGTGAGAGACCCAGAAGAGCTCCTGGCTCCCAGCTTCAGATCGGCACAGCATTGTATGATGTGCTCACTTGGGGAGTGAATCATCGGATGAAAGATCTTTCTCTCTGTCTCTCCTCCTCTCTATATATCTGACTTTGCAATAAAAATAAATAAATCTTTAAAAAAATTTTTTAAATAAAAAAAAGTAAACTTTTAATGACATACACTTTAAGCATCCACCCAAGATGCCTGCCTCCCATCTGGGACCGCTTTAAGACTCTGCTGCATCACTCCTGATCCACTTCCCTGCTGATGTGCCTGGGAAAGCAGCCTTTGGCCTTCAACAACCACACTGTGACATTTGTGTGACACAAGATGCAACCTGTCACTACTAATGACCTCTTCCTGTTGGCATGGCCAAGCCTCCGATGTAATACTGGATTTATCATCCTTGCCACATATACAGTTTCTTTAAAGGCTTAAGTTCTACAAACCTTAAATTCTACCTCAAGGGGTACAGCCTCACCTGCAAAACATGCATCCCACATGCATACCAGCTCATGCCAGGCTGCCTCACTTCCTATCCAGCTCCCACTCAGTATGGGAAGAGCAGCGGAAGATGGTGTTAACTGCTGGGGTCCCTGCTGCCCCCGTGGGAGACCCTGACAAAGCTCTCGGTCCATGGATTTAGCCTGGGCCAGCACTGGCTTTTGCAGCTATTTGAGGAGTGAACCAAGGGAAGGAAGATCTGTCTCTCAGAACAGACTCTCCCCCAATTCCCAGTATTTTCACTAAAACAGCTACATATCTCCTGAGGAATCAAGGGTCTCATCTTCTTTCTTTTGCACATCATTCCTGGCCAATCCATAAAACTCACCCATTCTTCCTTCCCACCACTTACACAGCTGTCTTTTCCATTCCCACTTTCACAGAGTTGTCCCAGGACTCTTCACTAGTCATTAAGGAATGTAAATTGAAACCTCAATCAGGGCCCGGCGCAATGGCACAGTGGTTAAGGTCCTCACCTTGCATGCCCGTATGGGCGCCGGTTCATGATCCCGGCAGCCCTGCTTCCCATCCAGCTCCCTGCCTGTGACCCAGGAAAGCAGTCAAGGACGGCCCAAAGCTTTGGGACCCTGCACCCGTGTGGGAGACCTAGAGGAAATTCCTGGCTCCTGGCTTCGGATCGGCATTGCATCGGCCGTTGTGCTCACTTGGGGAGCGAATGATTGGACAAAAGATCTTTCTCTCTGTCTCTCCTCTCTGTATATACGGCTTTCCAATAAAAATAAAATAAAATCTTTATAAAAAAAACCTCAATCAGCTATCACTTCACTCCCAATAGCAAAGCTACAATTAAAATTAAAGATTTCTTTATTTTTATTGCTAAGTCAGATATACAGAGAGGAGGAGAGACAGAAAGATCTGCTGTCTGATGATTCACTCCCCAAGTGGCCACAACAGGTAGTGCTGAGTCATTCCCAGGCCAGGAGCTACTTGGGACCCTGCACCCACGTGGAAGACCCAAAAGAAGCTCCTGGCTTCAGATGGAGCTCAACTCTGGCTGTTGTGGTAACTTGGGGAGTGAATCAGTGGATGGATGTATATCTGACTTTGCAATGAAAATAAATAAATCTTAAAAATATATATACTATAGCAACCTCTGGCAAGGATATAGAGAAACTAGCCCTCAGACAAGGTTGGTGATAATGCACAGTATGGTTGGTTTTTCATTGTTTTTTTTTTTATTTTGCTTTTACTTTTATTGGAAAAACAGATGACCAGAAGAAGAGACAAAGAAAGATCTCCCACCCACTGGTTCACTCCCCAAGCGTTCACAATGGCTAGAGCTGAGCCTACGCAAAATCAGGAGCCACGAGCTTCTTCCGGGTCTCTCATATGATGCAGGGTCCCAAGGACTTCGGCCACCCTCCACTGAATTCCAAGGCTACAAGCAGGGAGCAGGATTGGAAGTGGAACAGATGGAATTAGAAACAGTACCCATATGGGATGCTGGCATTTAAAGGTAGAAGATTAGCCAGATGAGCCATTGCACCAGCCCCAGTGTGGCTGTTTTTAATTTACCTGAGTAACAAGAACAGATAGAAAGAAGTCTTTCATCTGCTAGTTAACCCCCAAAATGCCTGCGATGACCAGGTCTAGGCCAAGTTGAAGGTGGAGCATAGGAACTTGATTCAGGCCTTCCACATGAGCGGAACAACTTGAGCCATCTCCTGCTGCCTCCTAGGGGGCACATTAGCAGGAAAGCTGGAATAGGCAGCAGAGCCAGTATACAAAGCTAGGCACCAGGACAGCAGGCATTGCACCCATCAACTTCAACTGCCAGGCCAAATAACTGCCCTACAACAAGTCACTTTACAGACGCAGAAAACAGCTTGCCAGGTGCCCGCTGCTGCTGCCCCAGGGACACAGAGAAAAGGAATGACTGCTAACAGTCATGGGGAGTACTGAAATATACTAAAATAGGTCATGGTGCTGATTATATAAATTCTACAAATATACCAAAATACGCTGATTGTATGTACACTTTAAATGGCTACATTTTAAATCACCAATACTGACATTTACATATAAAAGTTCCTGAGCCAGCATTTAAGTTTTTCTGTGAGCTACCTCAATCTACATTCCAAGCTTTATCTATTATCAGTCCCTCAACTACATTGTTTCAGTCTAACTAGCCTTTAAATATCCCAGGCTTTGTACACATCTCCTCTTCTCTTCCCCTCCTTATCCTTGCGATACCAGAAATTCTCAGTACCTTCGGATCCAACCTTAGTCATCATACAGGACTCTACTCAGACTCCTTGAAATTGTCCCAATAATCCCACTGGCTTCCCAACCCATCTAGAAACCTCATCTGGGAACTATGCCTGAGACAACTGCGATTTAACTACCATATTCTGTTATTCAAAGTTTTGCCTCCTGTCCTGTGGATGAGAGTCCATTTCACATACGTCTGTAGCCCCAACAACAGGAAGTACAATAGTCTGAAAAAAGCAAAGGATCAATAGATTGGGGGTTTTTGTTTTTTCCTTTTTTCTTTTCTTTCTATTTAATTTGAAAAGCAGAGAGACAGACAGAGATAAAGCTTCCATCCACTGGCTGTCTCTTCAAATGCCCACCACAGCCAGGGTTGGCCAGTGTGAGGTGGAGCTTGAGCGAGGTCGCCCACACAGGTGGCAAGAACACGGGTGTGTGAGTCATCGTCAGGCTCCCAGGCTCTATGAACAGAAGCTGAGTCAGAAGTGAGGCTGACACCAGTCTCGACAATATGGGATGGCGGGGTTCCCAATGAAGGACTTCACCACTGCACCAAGCAACTGAACCTGCTGGGGTGGGTGTGTGATCCTTTGCTTAGGAGCCTTTGAAATAGCAGGTAAGCTTGAGACCAATAGATAATCTGTCACTGCAGTCTTCAGGGCAACAAATACACATGACAATTCAGGAAAAAGGATCTTTGGACTCGGGCCATAGGGCCTTCTCCACAGCCTTTAAGTACCAAGAAGCTCCTGGCTCCAACCCCGGCCATGCAGCTACTTCAGGAGTGAACAAGCAGACAGAAAATCTCTCTCATTTGCTCTGTCTCTCCCTAAGGCTTCCAAGTAATTAGGCAACCTATAAGAAAAAAATCTGGGTCCTAGCACGATATCATAATGGTTAACGTCCTCGCCTTGAACAGGCCGGGTTCCCATATGGGTATCAGTTCTAATCCTAGCTGCTCCACTTCCCATCCAGCTCCCTGCCTGTGGCCTGGGAAAGCAGCCGAGGACGGCCCAAAGCCTTGGGACACTGCACCCATGTGGAGACCCAGAAAGAAGTTTCTGGCTCGGGCCCGGCGCGGTGGCGCAAGTGGTTAAAGGTCCTCGCCTTGCACGCCCGGGATCCCATATGGGCGCCGGTTCTAATCCCGGCAGCCCCGCTTCCCTTCCAGCTCCCTGCTTGTGGCCCGGGAGAGCAGTCGAGGACAGCCCAAGGCTTTGGGAACCTGCACCCGCGTGGGAGACCCGGAAGAGGCTCCTGGCTTCGGATCGGCATAGTATCGGCCCGTTGCGCTCACTTGGGGAGTGAATCATCGGACGGAAGATCTTCCTCTCTGTCTCTCCTCTCTGTACATCCGCCTTTCCAATGAAAAAATAATAAAAATAAATCTTTAAAAAAAAAAAAAAAAAAGAAGTTTCTGGCTCCTGGCTTTGGATCAGCTTTGGATGTTACGGCCACTTGGGGAGTGACTCATCGGATGGAAGATCTTTCTCTCTGTCTCTCTTCCTCTCCGTACATCTGCCTTGCCAATAAAATAAATAAATCTTTAAAAAAAAAAAAAGAAAGAAAGAAAGAAAAAAAACTGGTTTCTAATATTTGTTAAAGTACCCTGACCAAAACAGGAAAAAAAAATACTCACCGATATATATTCCAAGTGGCAACAGGTAGATTGAGAAGGAAGATGAACCAGTGCAATGAAATCAACATTAATACAGCAACAATGGTGTGGCCAATCAATTCTGGAATTACCCACTGCAAGGGAAGAGTATGCCATCACATTTCGCTGCTATGTACTCCAGGATTATATGTGATATCTGAAGCTCAATGTGCAGAGAACTTACAAGCTACTGCTTCTATGTTATTTTTAGACTCAGATGTCCCAGGTTTGCACACTGCAGTCACTGCTTACTCCATGAATACATCAGGACAAAGCTTAAAAGTGAAGTCCTTAAATTTCAATTACATTTGCTCTTAAGCAAAGCCTTAGATTCATTCCCTACACAGTCGTACGAGAGACAACACTAGGCGGGGAAATGAACTATCATTTAATTTCTATTCCAATGTCTATGCTAAAGCCTCTTGCTCTAAATTGGGGTGACACACTGCCTTTCAAGTTAAAATGCCAATCTTTTGAAAACACTGAGCTGAACCGAAACCTGGGTCTCCTCTGTGTCTCCCACACAGGGTCTCAAGGCCTTGAATGTAGCCACTGAACCATTACACCGGGTCCAATATATATATATATTTAGAATTTTAGGGGACCAACACAATAGCCTAGTGGCTAAAGTCCTTGACTTGCATGTACCAGTATCCCACAGGGGCGCTGGTTTGTATCCTGGCTGCTCTATTTCCTATCTAGCTCCCTGCTGTGACCTGGGAAAGCAGTAGAGGATGGCTGAAAGCCTTGGGACCCTGCACCTGCGTGGGAGACCAGGAGGAAGTTTCTGGCTCCTGGCTTCAGATCGGAGCTTAGCTCCAACCATTGCAGCCACTTGGGGATTGAACCAGCGATGGAAGATCTTTCCGTCTCTCTTTCTCTCTGTAAATCTGACTTTCCACTAAAAATGAATACATCTTTTAAAAAAAAAGAATTTTATTTATTCAAATGACAGTTACACTGTGGGGTTGAGAGGGGTGAAGAGAGGGAGGGCAAAGAGAAATATTCCATCTTTCCATCTGCTGCTTTATTTCCCAAATGACTTCAATAGCCAGAGCCATGCCAGGCCAAAGTTAGGAGCCAGGAGCTTTCTCCCGGTCTTCCTCATGGGTACAGGATCCCAAGAACTTCAGCCATCCCCCACTGCTTTCACACAGGCATTAGCAGGGAGCATGATCCAAACCGGAGTAATTTAGGACTTAACCGGTGCCGATATGGGATGCCACACTGCAGGCAGTGGCTTAATCCACTGGGTCACAATGCCAGCATCAACGCCAAAATAGCAATCTTGAATATTTTCTACTCTCTAGAATCCTAAAAAAATCATATTGCACTCAGGGGGAAAAATCATAATGTTGAGACCAGCATTGTTATACAGCATGGTAAGTCGCCTCCTGTGACCACAGTGCGAGTTTGACTCCTAGCTTCTCTGCTTCTGATCCAGCTGTCTGCGGATATGACCGGGAAAGCAACAGCAGACATCCCAGCTGTGGGGCCACTCACATGAGAACACCAGATGAAGGTCTAGGCTCCTGGCTTTGCAGCCACAGGTGCAGATTAAGACATTTTGGGCTGTCCTCTCCTGTTTTTCCAGGCCACAGGTAGGGGACTGGAAGGGAAGTGGAATAGCCAGGACATGAATTGACACCTATATGAGATCCCGGTGTATGTAAGGTAAGGACTTAAGGACTTAGCCACTGAGTCATTGCACTGGGCCTGAAATAAATCTTTATTTAAAATAAGGTAAGCTAAAGCAACCTGATATTAACCAGTTACTTTAAATCAATCCATAAGAAAAGGGCAGCAGACAGGATCACAATTGATTTATATCTCAGTATCTCTATGTCTCTGCCTCTCAAAAATAAAGTAAAATAAAATAAAAATAATCTGTATAGACTCAAGGGATAATTTTCATAGTAAAACAGCTTATTCTCCATATGCAAATTTACATTTACATAAAGAACACCCACAAACTATCAAAATATTAAGCAAGATATATGAAAAGAAATAAAATCACAATTTGCATTGTGTGCCCTGCTATGCCACCTCCTATAGCACCGCTCTCCCAAATGAGCGCTGATTTGAATAGCAGCTGCTCTATTTTTGATCCAAGTTGCTGCTAAAATCACCTGGGAAAGCAACTAAAGATGGTTCAAGTGCCACATGGGCGACCCAGAAGGAAACCCTGTCTCCTCGTTTCAGCCTGGCCCAGCCCGTCATTACAGCCATTTCAAGAATGAACCAGATGAAAGATGTCACTTTCTTTAACGCCAGATTTCACATAAATAAACATATTTTTAAAGAAACATAATCCATTTAAGATGTCTGTTATTCTCCTAAAGAGGAGGAAAAATACACTATAAAATTTAATTTTCCAGTTATACTTTTCCAAGCAAAGTTTATTTTCCTTGTGGACCACAGGAACTTAATGATTAAGACACATGGACAGTGGGCCCAACGCAATGGCTCAGTGGCTAAAATCCATGCCTTGCACATGTCAGGATCCCATATATGTGTCAGTTCGTATCCCAGCTGCTCCACTTCCCATCCAACTCCCTGCTTGTGGCCTGGGAAAGCAGCAGAGAATGGCCCAAGACCTTGGGGCACTGTACCCATGTGGGAAAACTCAGAAGTTGCTGGTCCCCAACTGTGGATCAGCTCAGCTCTGGCCTTTGCGGCCACTTGGGGCATGAACCAGTGGAAGATATTTCTGTGTCTTCTCTCTGTAAATCTGCCTTTCAATACAAATAAATAAATCTTTTTAAAAAAAAAGACACAAACACACTCTTACTAGGTTAAGCCAAGTACACTTACATATTACACGTTTATATAGCCTTTTATCTAGAAAGCCACTGCTTATCTCAAAAAACAAATCAGTGCCAACTGGCTTGCCTGTAACTAGATAAGTTTTGCAATTCAGACCATTCTTGCAGTATTAGCTCTGACTAGGGATTGGCACAGTGGTGCAGAAGGCTGCATACGTGTGGGAGACCTCAGAGAAACTCCTGGTCCAGGCTGTGGCCCACACCAACCGGGACGACTGTGCACTCGCTCTTGCTCTCTCGCTCTCTCTTTCAAATAGATGAATAATCCTTTCCAATATAAGTAAATTTAAAAAGCCAGAAATAAGCAGACACGTCTTACCTTGTTTAATTTCGAGCAGCATGATCTAGCATTAATGTAATCACATTCTAAGTCAGACAATGTAATTATCTGATGATCAAGATAAGGAATTAATATATTTCTTTTATAACAAATAAGTACATAAATTTCAGAATGCAATCTGTGGTAGTGCAGACTTAAATTTGACTTTAAAACACTGGTTATTGGGTTGATACGAGGTGGCGGTTCCTTATCCCTGGGTACTGAGACGTTTGGAAAGTCATGTGTGGCTTCCCGCTTTTTCTCTCCCCTTCCTCCAGGAACAACAAGAAGAAATAGCAAATTTGGAAACAATGTCACCCAATTTTCCCCTAAACTTTGATCCTTCCTTCCCTGATCAACCATGTCATCATTATAAACAACAAAAGAACTGGTTATTTATTTATTTAAGGTTTACTCATTATACAAAATAATTTTCCCATTTATGTTCCTTTAATAAAATATTTTCAAAAGATAATTTTTTATGTTCGTTTTGTCTGAATTTCTGAAACAAGGAATAAGGTCTGTAACAAAATAGAAAACAAGACATATAAGAAATTTAATAAATTTTGGCTCAGTGCGGTGGTCTAGTAACTAAAGTCCTCGCCTTGAATGCACCAGGATCCCATATGGATGCCGGTTCTAGTCCTGGCTGCTCCATTTCCCATCCAGCGCCCTGCTTGTGGCCTGGGAAAGCAGTTGAGGATGGCCCAATGCCTTGGGACCCTGCACCCACAGGGGAGATCCAGAAGAGGCTCCTGGCTCCTGGCTTCAGATCAGCACAGCACCGGCCATTGCGGTCACTTGGGGAGTGAATCATGGGAAGGAAGATCTTCCTCTCTGTCTCTCCTCCTCTCTCTATATATCTGACTTTGCAATAAAAATAAATCTTTTTAAAAAAAGAAAATTGAGGCTCTTTAGAAAGTGAAGGAACGGGCCCGGAGCAGTGGCGCAAGTGGTTAAGGTCCTCGCCTGGCACGCCCGGGATCCCATATGGGCGCCGGTTCTAATCCCGGCAGCCCCCCTTCCCTTCCAGCTCCCTGCCTGTGGCCCGGGAAAGCAGTTGAGGACGGCCCAAAGCTTTGGGACCCTGCACCCGCGTGGGAGACCCGGAAGAGGCTCCTGGCTTTGGATCGGCATAGCATCGGCCGTTGCGCTCACTTGGGGAGCGAATCATCGGACGGAAGATTTTCCTCTCTGTCTCTCCTCTCTGTATATCTGCCTTTCCAATAAAAAAAATAAATAAATAAAAAATAAATAAAATTAAAAAAAAAAAAAGAAAAAGAAAGAAAGTGAAGGAACATGCACACCAAATAGCTAGCCAGCTATACAGAGTCTGAATCCCAAATATTGCAACTTTCCACTACAACAGGCTTCCTGTCTACAATAAAGAATGGAGCCACAAGATGACCATATTACCTAAAGCCAGCATGCTCTGCCAAACAAAGCAAAGTATTGGGGCGGAGGGCATGGCATGTTAATCATCCACCTACAGTGCAGGCAACCCACATGTCGGTTCCAGTCCTGGCTGCTCCCAAGAAATGGCTTAGGAAAGCCCTGGAGGATGGCCCGATGATTTGGGTCCCTGCACCCACAAAGAACACCCCAAAGAAGCTCCTGGCTTCAGACCTGCCCAGCTCTAGCTGTTGCAGCCACTAGGGAGTGAACCAAAGGATGGAAAATTTCTCTCCGCTTTCCAAATAAACATTTTTAAAACCAAAAAGAATACCTATTGAATCTTTTCACCACACAGAAATGCTCAAGGCAACCAACACATTATCCAGATTTGCACATTATTACCTAACAGACACAGGTATTAAAACATCCCATACTGTACCCCATTTATGGATACAGCTTCTATCTCAATTTCAGAAAAGACAGACATGTGGTTTCTAAGGAGGGAAAATCAAACGAGTTCTTCGGATACTTTTCCTATCTTACAGGAACTAGTTGAAGCTGGATTGCGCAGTACAACACTGGGCATGAATGCGCCAGGTTCCCGGGCCATGGGAGGGCCTGGGAAAGCAAGTCTACACCACACACGAACGGCTGCATACAATGCAAAAGTTTTCCCAGGGACTGGCGCAGCAAGTGGAGAACCACTAGTAACTAAATCACGTGCAGTTACTCAATTTACAAATCTGACAACCCAATCACTGTTTTTCGCATAATTTTTAAAAATACCTGTTTCCTAACACCTGTGACCAAGAAGGGAGTCGGGACTGGGGAAGGAAAGCCCTTCCCTTCTGTGCTTTTTGGCCCCAAGACGCCTCTAGGGATCAGGTTCCAGTCCCCTTCTAGACGGCCTGGGGAGCAGGAGAACAAAGGGGCGGGCAGCAGGGGTGATGCCCGCCAAAGACAAACGGTAGGAAAGCCTCCGCTTGTCCCAGTGCGAGGCTGGAACCCGGGCTTCCGAGAGAGGGCTGCGGCCACAAAGGCAGCCCGGAGTCGCCCCTCACTTGGAGCAGAACCGGCTGGGGCGTCGGGGTTCCAGAGCGATGGGCGCGCTGGCCAGGCCCGGGGCGCTCCAGGAGACAGCCCAGCTCGGAGCTCCGGCGAGGGCCGGCCGGCAGCCACGAAGGGCGGGTGACGGAGCTGGGGCCCGGGCAGATGGGGCAAGCGGGGCTGCACGCCCTGTCCGGGAGGCCCGCTCTGCGCCCCAGCCAGGCCAGCGCCCAAAGAAACCCCGAGTCCGCAGCCGGCAAGCCTGTCCTGTGCCCACCCTGCACCACCCTCATCCTTGACCCGCGGACCACCGCCCCAGGAAAGCCTCCGCCCGCCGCCGGAAAGGATACGAAGTAGACTGAGAGGAAGATGAGCGCGCAGCAATCAAGCAGGGAGAAGACGAACACCACCGCCTCCATGCTCTTCCTCCTCCGCAGCCGCCGCTCCTTCCGTCAAGACGCCTCTCGGGCGCCGCCAGGTTCTCGCAGGCCCTGGCAGCTGCTCGCTGGGCGGGCTCTGCCGGACGCTCCAGCGCGGCGTGCTGGGAAATGTAGTCCATATTTTTTGAAAGTTGCACAGCGGAGGATTTGGTGCAGGCTGGGAGATGAAGTTTTCCTGCAGAGTTTCCACAGAGGGTGGGCACGCCCCGGTCCACAAATACTGACCTACAAATAGACCGGCAGGTTTACTTTTAACCGCTGGAAGCCCCGGAGTCTTTCTGGCCTGTGTGGAATCTTCGCGGGTGTCTGCTCTCAACTGACTACAGTCCCTGACTTGGGTTGTCATCTCACTGTGTCTGTCTGTAATGCTCCGAGCATTTGTTGAGACTTGCCATCTCCTCTCTGACAATCTCTCCCAACATTGCTTATCCTCATTTGCAGCTGTGTTCTTATCTCCCTCTGGACTAGCAGATTAAAAAAAAAAAAAAAAAGGCCCGGCGGTGTGGCCTAGTGGCACAAGACCACGTCCTAAACGTGCCAGTATCCCATATGGGCGGCTGTTCTAATCCCGGCAGCTCCACTTCCCATCCAGCTCCCTGCTTGTGGCCTGGGAAGGCAGTCCAGGACGGCCCAATGCCTTTGGACCCTGCACCTGCATGGGAGACCTGGAGGAGGTTCCTGGCTCCCGGCTTCGGATCGGCGCAGCACCGGCTGTTGCAGTCACTTGGGGAGTGAATCATCAGATGGAAGATCTTCCTCTCTGTCTCTCCTGCTCTCTGTATATCTGACTTTGCAATAAATATAATTAAATCTTTAAAAAAAAAAAAGAAGAAGAAGAAGAAGATGATGATGAAGAAGCAGGGGGAAACATCAGATCCTCTATAAATCCCTGAGAAAGAGTTTCTCCTTTATTCTGACGTAATGGGAAACCATGGAAATAGTTTAGGCAGAAAGTACCTTAGGGATATTTTCGTTTTAAAAGTTCCGTTCGGAGCACCAGCCTGCTGCTTAGTAAAGCCATCACCTGTAATGCAGGCATCCCATAGGAGTACTGGTTCAAGTCCCAACTTCTCCAGTCCAATCCAGCTCCAGGCTAATGCATCTGGGACAGAAGCAGAGGATGGTCTGAGTCCTTTAGTCCCTAAACCCGCAGCAGAGATCTGGAAGAAACCTTTGGCGTGGCCCAGCCCTGGCTGCTGTAGCCATTTTGGGGTGTAAGCTAGTAGACAGAAGATAGATGCAGCCCCCTTCTCTCTTTGTAACTCTGTTTTTCAAATAAATAAAATAAATCCTTAAAAAAAAAATTCTGCAACAAGAGTTTGATCTGATAGTCAAGATGCCATTTGGGACACCCACATCCGTTGTCGAAATGCCTGAGTTTTAGTCCCAGCTCTGCTCTCAGTCCCAGCTTCCTCCTACTGTACATTCAGGGGAGAATTAGATGTTCAGGCTTGGGTCCCTGTCACCCGGAGGGGACATCTGGATTTAGAGTTCCTGGCTTCTGGCTTTACTCTAGCTTAGCTGTTACAGGAAAAGGAAATGAATCAGAGGTTACAATTCTCTCTACCCTCGCCTCTCCTTAACTGCCTCTCAAATAAACATATTTTTAAAAAGCTAATAAGTAAAGAGCGATATCATTCTGGCTGTTTGGTGCAGTCACTATATGAAAGGGGATATGTGTTTTAGTAAGAAGACAACTTAGGGGAGAGGAAGATGGATAGAGGAATTCATATGAAGGCAAAATCAACTGGATTTGCCTGACACAGCATGGTTTCATAAACTCATAAAGGGTTCATAGGTTAAAACTAGAGGTACCATTAACAGTAATTTATAAAGCAGCTATCACTATGCTCCCATTGTACTTTGCCCATACCTCTGTCAGCATACTCATTGCATTAACTATCTTCCTTACATGCTTAGTCAGTCATGCCTCAGACTATGATATGTCCTTATACCGCCAGAACCTTCAGTCATAAATGTCTGGTACCTCATAACTGGATGTCAAATAAAGAGCCTATACTATCAGAACGATGTTATTAAAACTCACCAGCCTAGATTGTATTAAAAGCAGAAAACTCCTCTCACATCCATCCAGAAAAGGAACGGACAATATAAGTTATCTCAATTTTTTTTAAATATTTATTCATTTTTATTGCAAAGGCAGATATACAGAGAACAGGAGAGACAGAGAGGAAGATCTTCCATCTGATGATTCACTCCCAATGTGACTGCAACAGCCGATGCTGCGCCAATCCGAAGCCAGGAGCCAGGAGCCAGGAACTTCCTCCAGGTCTCCCACACGGATGCAGGGTCCAAAGGCTTTGGGCCGTCCTCGACTGCCCTCCCAGGCCACAAGCAGGGAGCTGGATGGGAAGTGGAGCTGCCTGGATTAGAACTGGTGCCCACCAGTATGTGTGTGGGCTGGGTAATAGGGCATGTTGGGTTGCAATAGGCTTCAATGCCCATTGACATATGTTAGAGCTAAATGGGATGTGGGACAGACTGAACAACTCTGTGTACATACTGGTAAGCATGGGAACCAGGGTAAGGGGCAGGCCTGGTGGGGGGTTATGGGGAGTCACCCCAACTAGGCTGCAGCTCCCACTGGTTTACGTGAAAGCCAAGTATGAAGTGGGCAGGATTGGGCTGGACTGTAACACCCATTGGTTTGTGTGGAAGATAGGGCTGGAAACAGAACTGACCCAGCAATTGCAACCACCAGCATATGCATAAGCTGATTGGGGCGACGGACTGTGCAGGAACCCGTACTGGCAAGCACATACAGCAATCAGGTGGGAACATCTCAGACAAAGTTTCTTTGGGCACTCTTCCAACTGAACTGCTGATCTCAGAACCCCAACCATAAAGATAGGCTCAGCTGTGAATATAAATCTTTTAAAAGGATTTGTTTTTATTGGAAAGTCAGATTTACAGAGAAAAGAAGAGACAGAGAAAAAGATCTTCCATCCATTGGTTCACTCTCAAGTGGCCACAACGGCTGGAGCTGAGCCTATCAAGAGCCAGGAGCCAGGGTTAGTTGTATGTATGTGCTATGTATATATGTGGGTGTATATGCCAGCTGATGGAAGATCTCCCTCTCTCTCTCTTTCTTTCCTTCTCTCTGTAATCCTACCTTTCAAAATAAACAACTTAAAATAACAGTCTTCAGCTTTCAGCAAACAAGCATTCCACCTTTTAAATCCCATTAAAGAATCTGACATCCATACCCTAACCTTTTCCCCACATCATTATAGAACATTATAGAGAGAGAACTGTGAGATGCTGAATATACAAAGGAACAAGGATCAGGTTATATATAAAAACACAAGCTGACACAGTGTGGAGCATCCAGCCCAGAAGGCAAGATACTGTGTACAAGCCAGACCGGTAGGAAACAAGACCACTATCCCCAGCAGGCCAGGAGACCAAAAAGAACTCTGGTGGCTGTTGGCCCCAAGTGGCCAGGGGTCCCGTAATAGGTGACAGCCTCACTAATTTCTTTAATGTTCTAAACATTGGGACCAAAGCCAAAGCAGTGCTAAGGAAGCAAACAAGTAAGATTCCCCACGTCTAGTTAATCCACCTCAACCTTCTCTAACTGATACACTTTAGTTACAGCATGCCCTGAAGCCTTCCCTTTTTTCAGTACAAAACTTTCCCACTTTTCTGCTTACCTTGGGGCCTCTGCTAAAACCCAGGTGGTGGTGGCTAATGTCCCTTTTTTGAGCAAACTCTGAACACCTTTTGTTGGTCCGGATTTACCTCCATACAAAAGTACTAAAAATAACTATGATGAGTAGAAGGGTAAAAGTCTGGACTGTCTTGAGCAAGTCAAGGGACGTATCACTCTAATCATTAAGCTCAATGGGACCAAGTGCTATCTGCTAGTAAGATACAAAGCCTGGGAAAGCTTTGGCTGAAAGACAGAGTCGACAAGTGCCACTACCAGCAAGTAGGGTTGTGCCATTAATTACCACAGAAGTGTCTCAGCTATCTATGTACGTGGTTAACAAGTGTATTTAATAAATTTTCTATCTTAGGGATGTGGTGCTGTCAGCCAAGAGTCTTGCACCTGCAAAATTGTCCATCAAAAGTAAAGAAGGGGGCCTGGCGGTGTGGCCTAGTGGTTAAGTCCTCGCCTTGAACACGCCAGGATCTCATATGGGCGCCTGTTCTAATCCTGGCAGCTCCACTTCCCATCCAGCTCCCTGCTTGTGGCCTGGGAAAGCAGTCGAGGACGGCCCAAGCCCAAGGCTTTGGGACCCTGCATCCGTGTGGGAGACCCGGAAGAGGTTCCAGATTCCTGACTTCGGTGCTCACTTGGGGAGTGAATCATCGGACAGAAAGTCTTCCTCTCTGTCTCTCCACCTCTCTGTATATCTGACTTTGTAATAAAAATAAATAAATAAAGTGATGAAGGAGGAGAGGAAGCTATTGTTGGGTAAACAAAGGCTACAGGAGTTCATCTGAGCAGCTCTCTGCCTCAGGGTGAAAAGAAGGACACTCTGGTTACTTTGCCACTCAAGATGGCATAAAGAATCAAAATCTCAATACAGGTAAATGCATGGAGAAGTATAAAACCAGTGTTATTCTAATGAGTAGTTGTGCTTCTACTACTTTTTTCGCTGAATTTTTCCCTGTAACTGAATAGAATCATGGAACTCCCCATAACTTTTTTCCCACTCTACACCTTTTTTTTTTTCTCATAACTGAAGAGAACCATGCATTTAAAAGAAGTATTATTTTATGTTGTGGGACACACAATGGGTGAAGATTTAACTTTGTGACATTAAAAATCAAATGCAAGGCAGAAGAACTACAAATGAAGAGTTTGCAATTTATGGCAACAAAGCTGTTTCATTAAAAGTAAGAACTTCCTCTGTAAGTTTATTTATTTCAAATGCAAAATAAACAAGCAATGAAGTTATTCCATCTGCTGATTTACTCCCCAGCTGGGACAGCAGGATCTCTTCTCTGCTGTTTCATTCCCCAAATTTCTGCAACAGCCAGAGGATAAGATCAGGAAACTGGCTCATGACTAGGTTCATTTTGGTGGGCGGCA